AAGTAAAACAACAAAACATTTAGTTTAGTTACTTAATTTGAGATTCAGTAAATTGAACTTGACTCTTTTTTTGTTATACAGATTAATTAGGTTAAAAGACTTATTTTATTGCTTATTTCTGTATTGAGAAAAAATTAGATACATAATCATATCGGTCATCAATGAAAACTGAACCAATATCCCCTCTGTTTGTTCCCTTACTTCTATTGTGAATTACTTGTTTTCTTTTATTCCTTGATTTATGCTTTTAATGTAGAAACTGGTTATAGGAAATGGCATAACAAAACATCCACTAAATTTTAGGAAAAAAGCTTCCTGATTAAAAAGGAAGGTGTCATCCAAAAGATATGCTTGATAACACACTACCTAAACTGAAGCAGTCAGTTTCTGGAGTAGTTTATTCTTTGGTTATCTATATTATAGAAGATACCTTATAACTTCTGTAACTCATTGAAATGTTAAAAGAACATTATCAATTTTGATTGCTAGTTCCACAAAGAGAGCCAATTATCTAGTATGTACTTATAAGAAATGAACCACATTACATTACCAAAATATCCAACCACTTGCTACTTTTAAGTCTCACTGACTATTAATAATGTGAATACATCAGAGAAAAAATTCATGATATAATTTTTCGTAAATAATTTGTTAAAATGGGAGTATGCAGTTCTCCAAGAACGTGTTTTTACCACTATTCTGCCCACTTTAAAGGTTGACTGTAGATTTTGCGAAAATCATCACCGAATTAAAAGAGCAACAATGATGATGCATTGATACACTCCTTTTATGAGATACTACATAGTCCTAATTTATGTACCTGTGGCGTGGAACCATCTTTATTCATAAGAATCTAAATACAAGTATACGGAGGATACACGTTGTAAATTTTTGTCAAATGGTAAATAGTAACCTATAACAAAATGAAGTAGTGTTTTTTTGAAGAAGTTTATGTACTTATGCAAGTGAACACTTTCTAAAAACACAATATCGTGTGCAGAAAAAGACTGAAATGAAAGTATTTGAGTTATATCATCTTGCATCGTCTCAGTAGGAAAACAATACATGCAGTTAACTTACAGAAAGGCTCTTTTATGCTTTTCGTAAGATGACTGTTTTGGATAAATCAAAAAAAGCCGTACATTTTTCACTTGCTGTTGGTATACTTTCAAAAACTGAAGGCGGCAACATAAGCCCACAGTCGTTAAAATACAACAAATGAGGAATCAAGCATCGAACAAGCCTAACATACAAATCGAAAACATTGAAAACTTGAATGCATAACCTAGTCTAGACCAATAATATGTAAAACGATCCACATTAGCTGCAGAGCCTATATATTTTTGATAAGAACTGCTGTCAAAATAAATTCTTTGTATAAACCTTTAGGTTTGGGCGTAGTCCTTGGTTTTTTGGAATATTACTAGAACAATGTTTCTCGTGCAGTTTAAAAAACCTCACTAAGTTAGAATTTCCTGATATTCATAACCGGTCGCACCGGAAATGAAGATCATATTTCTAAGTATCTGTGCCAAACTGCTTGCACTCAGTTGCGTCTTTCAAGTTGAACATAATCAAACAATATTTGAGCAAATTTCAAATGAGTTGCCTGGACAAGAGTGACAATTTAAACAAAAATCTGCATCATCTAATAAGTCATTCGAATTCATTGGACTCTCTATAAGTTCCAGCATTCAAATGATTAGCAACAGGAAAATAAGGAAGGTAGTAGTGCAATAAGGTTAACTGCATTATACTTTTCTGAATATGACCGCTTCATAGATATGTGGCTACAGCAATGAAAATCAGCATCAGTCGTAAATGATTCTAAAGAAAGCCATCTAGATATGTAAACTATAAAGCTATGCTCATTAGTTATAGGTAACAGCAAGTTACACATATCTCGAACAGAAGTGTTTTCCTACAGTAATTCAAGGAAAGCTAAATCATTTCCACTAAAAGCATAATGTCAATATGGCTATTAGAATGTATATGAAAAGTGGCACCATTGTATGGTGTGAAACCTTTGGTATTACTAATTATTTCCTTCCCATTTATTTTAGAATAATTCTCTTGAGCATACATAATGACAGTCTTTTTAGCTTAGAGATCATTAGTTACGCGTAAGTTGGATGAATAATCTCATTTTTTTTCTCTATATTCCAATACATGAATTCAGTAACATATAAACATTAACCTCAGCTACAACAGTTAATGCATTTACTACACCAAAGGTGTTGGAATTCTATCGTCTTGAAATTTTATTCACAAACATTACAGCATTAGACAAGATTCCTGACACAAAGCAGAGATGAATTTATCACACACTTAAAACTACTTCAAAGGATAAACTTTTTCAAAAATTCGTGGTACAGTTATAACTTCTGCTTCCTGTTACCCACAAAAATTTAGTTTGTGTAAATGCAGTAAACCATAAAGAAAGGATTTTAAAAAGTATTGTATTATTAGCTAATGGTAAAATGCTATCAAAACAATTATCTAACTTGACACATTATGACAAAAAATCGAATATTGCTAACTTTAAAATGTCCTATTGCACCTAGTGATCAGTAAGATTTTGATGGTGGTGGACTCGATCATGCAAGAAACCGTGAGTAGAGAGAAGATGGATATACGCTGGACCGATGAAAAGATCCTAGAACATTTGGATTTCGCCGATGATGATGTATGTCTGATGTCTTCTCGCACAAACTCGAAGATCCACAGGAGAAAACCAACAAGTTGACAGAACAGACAGCGAAGACGGCACCTCAACTGAATGAAGGGAGAAGACAGAGGTGATGAAGATACCCAGCCAACAACAGCATGAACAACAAGCATCAATCACCATCAACAGGAGAAACCTAAAGGAAATAGTCTGTTCCACCTACCTACATACATGTGCAGCATCGTTTCAACTACAGGGGGCACAGGCACAGATGAGGACGTCGAAGTCAGGATCGGAAAGACAGCAAGACAGGCCTTCATTAATCTGAAACCAGTGTTGAGATCTACCGCACTCAGCATAAAGCGTGAACAAGATCCACATTTTCAACACTGATGTCAGCGAAGTCAGTGCAGCTATATGGTTCAAAAACTTGACACGTCATGAAAAGCATTTCCAACAAACTACAGACATTCATCAACAGTTTCCACCTACGCTTGATACTCAGGATCAGATGGCCAGAAAGAATAAGCAATAAGGAAATCTGGAGACGAACTGACTGAGAACCTATCACCCAACAAATATGCAGAGGCAAGTGGAGATGGGTTGGACATACACTGAGAAGACCGACTGGGAACATCACGTGACAGGCCCTGGAGTGGAATCCAAATGGGAAACGACGAGCTGGGCGTCCTAGGTGAGGGTGACATGGAGGAGATCATGTGAGCAAGAAATGAAAGCTTGTGGGCAGTGGTGGCACCAGGTTGAAAAGAGTGCAGAGAAGAGAGTGCAATGGAGGCATGCTGCTGATGCCCTATGTTGCACTAGGAACCCAAGGGACAAATAATAATAACAATATTCGGGTGTTTCTGCAATCGCTAGGGGTATAATATCGTCAGACTTTCAGAATTCATATTTGCTGTTGCTGCAATCAGAGAGGATACAACTGAGATATTCAAGTTTTGACTGACTCACTGTAAGACCGAATGGGATAACGAATTAACCTACCTTCTGATTTCTCCTGACCACCTAGGATTCATCAGAGGTGCATCGCTGTAGTAAGCAGCTTGGTTTAGTGACATCGAAAACCTGATGAACATACTACTAATGGCACCTATAAGTATACATGACATTGTCAGGTCTCCAGAGGTAGGTAAGTAACAGTAAATAGACTAGATGAGACTGCTAATAGTTTTCATGACATGGTCTACATCAGGATTACTGTGAAACAAATAAGCAACAATGATACCATTGATTTTCGTAAATGCAAAGGTAGTATTTTAAAATATTACAACAATAACGATTTTTGTTTTACTATTGCATTTGTGGTTATTCGGCTTAGTAGAAAAATGCACATTAGAAATTCTATAACCACTAATAGGAAAATAAATAGTGCATGTTGAATAAATAAAACGAGTAGTAGTTTTCATGCTTTTTGTATTGGCGATAGAAATCAATCATGCTATCAATAAACTGTTAATCTACATGTATCGTGAATGTAACTCAAAGAAAAACGCCAGTAGACTATTGATGATGAATCAGATGGCCAGAAAGAATAAGCAATAAGGAAATCTGGAGACGAACTGACTGAGAACCTATCACCCAACAAATATGCAGAGGCAAGTGGAGATGGGTTGGACATACACTGAGAAGACCGACTGGGAACATCACGTGACAGGCCCTGGAGTGGAATCCAAATGGGAAACGACGAGCTGGGCGTCCTAGGTGAGGGTGACATGGAGGAGATCATGTGAGCAAGAAATGAAAGCTTGTGGGCAGTGGTGGCACCAGGTTGAAAAGAGTGCAGAGAAGAGAATGCAATGGAGGCATACTACTGAAGCTCTATGTTCTTAAGAAAAAATAATATAATAATAATAGTAATGTTCCCATTTCCTCAAGCTGTCATAGTACTACTTCTCTCCCACAGTTAATTACCTTTACGGTTATTCAGGTGGGACTTTGGCATATTGGTCTAATCAGTTGTCGTTCAACTACTCAGATAGTAGCTCAAACGGCGCTCAGTTTTCCGAAATCTGGGCAGGTGTGTAATATCATTTGTCTTCAAACAGTAGGCATGGTTTATCTGCTGTTGCATGAACATGCGAACAGTTTCTGAGGGAATTTATTTTCTTTTAGTATTTTACGTCTATTTATCTACTTGTCACACAAAGTATACATGTAGTATGACTGTATCACCAAATATGAACGATATTGAAAAAAGCATTCTCCAGAAACGTTTTCCTTTCAAACACTTCAAATATCTGCTTTTTGTTTGTGATTTTTTCTTAAACGGAAAATATTTTGTCTAATCTTTTGCTTCCGATATTATTTTCAGAAGTATACTTCGGTTCCGAATTCAAATGAGGTAGTCAAATCCCAAATCTCTACACCTTTAGCACTGCTATCACCAGTATCTTTTCCCTCACCATCCTCTTCATCGACATTGTCATCAACTACCATAGTTGGATCAGAGTCACAAGATATAAAGTCCACTTGTTTAAAGGCGTGTTATACAGCTCAACAAGTTTACAGTCAATCGGACGACCTACAAAACAATCCCAGTAATGCATACTGTCCCAGTGTGGTCAATTGGCCGGAGTCATGTCAGTATACGTGTAAAAATGATGCAGACTGTTTACCATATGGTTATACCAAGTGTTGTCAAACAATAACATGCCATAAAAACTCTCGACAGAAAAGATTATTAAATTATGTACATAATTTTACAAAAATCAGTGTTTGCAGTCTGGGCGTTTATAACCCTAATAGTGAGTGTTCCCACCATATTTTTGTTACATAATCCTTTCCCGTTAAACCTAGTTGTACAGTATACTAAACAAGTAAGCAATATAGGAAATCATAAAAAGGGTTTCGTAATCGCCAACTAGTACTGACATGTTAAAATCTACTAAAATCCCCTGGATTACCATTTCGAATGTTGCTTATTATTTTTATTACAGACTAGATTAGTGATTAGCTAATTTCATATCAGATGCGAATTTTCATCCTGTGTAATTAACAGTGATCATTATGAAACTTGTGATATGTCTTAGCAAGATGTATCATATCAACATTTTCCTAAGGCACAAAAATAGCAGTTTTGTTTGTGAAAATAGTGGTTGAGACGTCTATTCACTAAACATGATTCTGAGAGTCTTTAGTTCCATACCAAAAATATATATGTATTTAGTACCACGAACTGCCCAAACAGAATTAAATGGCTATCGCATGCTTCGCATAATGATTGTTCTAGTTACATCGAAGTTTGTGCTGACGATGCTGTCTAGAATGACAATAAAAGCTACACGATCAAACCATCTAACTCAGAGAACACAACACCATAAAACAGTTTATTGTATCTTTCTCACATCAGTAATATGACCTTCTTTCCACGCCTACATAGCAGAAATAACACCTCTGATGACGGAATTCTAGACGGTTTTGTTGCCTTAGAGTCTAGCCAATCAGCAATGAGAATTCAAACCCCTCTCCATGACAAAATCGATAATATTAAGTTATCATGCTAAGCGTGGCAACTTCTTGCTAAATATAACCAATTAATTTATGACTGTTTTCAAAGTTTAAGTAATTTATAAATATTCTCAAAATGATCTCTTGCTGAGCATCATTCTCCTGACTGTTGGAAATTTTAGAAAGAAACCTACGAAAAGTATTTCTTATCGATTACCAATGACGACAATCCCTTTTAAACCCAAGACAGCTCATATGCTTTAAAGAGAGGTTGGACGTCAAAAGACGTCGAAAAGCTGGCTGATTGTAGCTGTACATCTTTCATTATCATCCAGCGACAGATTTTTATAGTCATTTTATCATTTGAACAACTATATTTGCTTACTTTGAGGAAGAGACGGAACCGTCGAAATACTTCACTATAGGCATGGAAGCAAGATTTACGTGTAAATCTATTCCAGGGCATTAATTTACTGTTCAATAATGGTACCCTGATATCTTGTTTTCTGAAGCATATTAGCAAAAGAATTTAGAATCCTGTGAACATAGCTACTGGAAAGAAAATAGTTTTTTGGAATCTCTAAATTATTCGGGAAATTTCTTGGTACTTATCGATTCCACAAATGTTGGAGCCATACATGCATCTTAAGCAGGATATCTGCCAAAATGCTAAATAAAAATGCAAAGAATAAACAGTTACGAAAACTTTGATAAATCATAATTATTCCAGTTTACCACTCTTCACAACATTTGATGCAATTGTTGAAGCCTGATAAATAGGCTGTACGTATTCAACACACTACTTAATGAAACCTGACAATAAACCTTTCTATAGATACAACAAAATACCAAGCTTGAGCTCAACAACATGACTCAGTGAGTAAGCGTGTATTTAACAATCTGCTAAATGCACTATCACTGGAAATAAAACTGATTCTCTGCAATCGATTTGTTGAAAACACCCGCCAGATGTAAAGAGGATTTCAGTTCAAAACATTCCACTCAGGTATATTTCTTCTCTGTTTGTCAAGTAGAAACTTTATTCTTCACTCCAGCTGTGAAAGGAAAGTTAACATACCAAACACTTTCTGTGTATCATTCAATTAGAACACAGGTCTGCAAGCGAAGAAGGTATGAACTTCCAAACAATATCTGGATGTTCTAAATCAGGACTTAAGTACTTACTGTCATATTTTGATCCTTTAAAATATTCTGGGAAACAAGACAACACAACCAGTTGGAAGGTACTGCTACTGATATTTACAACGCATCTTATGTCATAGTGAATCTCACTGACAATTTCGAGCCACAGCTTATATTAACCAGTAGGAAATAGAGAACTATAGCCAATATTTGATTCAGAATACCGTCAAATGCTTCGGAAACCAAAAAACTTCTGAAGGCCAGTTTAAGTACTTCTTCTTTATCCTCAATATTTCTGTAAACGCTGGTTTAGAAAGTAGTTCATCAGTCGCTTTCAGATTGGCCTCTTTTCCATCAATAGTTGATGACCAACTGGTTATCCTCTCTTCTGTTATCAGAACCTGTTTACTGCTATATTGTATTTCGAATTCTTCTTTTTCTTACTGAAGCTTTATTCTAAAAACCACTTATTGGATTTAGATTTGTGTGAACAAGATGATAAGAATCAATTCCCGTTAAACGTTTATCACATTCTACTAAATACAGCTGTTGCAGTCTAAATATTTTTCAAAGTAATATAAAGATGGTAGACCTTGACAAGTATTGTCATAGTTCCCTTTAAGAGGCATACAGAAAACTAATACCCCATAGTTTTTCTCACTTGTAGCGATGTTCATCTGAGTGAAGAACAAAGCTAAATGTTGGATCCCAAGTTTCTGACTGAAGCCAGTAACACTGTCAGTTTCCATTTGTTTAGCAGCCTTCATTCAATAATTTCAGAATTTTGATATGTAGTTTTCGAAATTACTAGAAATGACCTCTCACTGCTTACTCATTAAAAAAAATCTGATTCCCCTGAATATTTAGTGAGTTGGGAAACTGTTCCGACTGGCAACACATAACAGGCTGAATTTTGCACTAGACTTCAGTAGTGCTGTTAAGTAAACCAAGCCTGTGATATGACCCTTATAACACAGCCATCTAGTCAACTATTTTAATATTAGATAAAGCAGAGGGACAGGTGCTTAAGTTGGCTTACACCAGAAGTGTCAGTATTATGAGGAAGCCAGACGTTGCTTTGATCATCAATAGATTGTCAACCAGCACCACTCTAGACAAACAGAAGGTTTGTTTAACCAAAGGAGTTTGCTCAACATTCATTTCAAGTAGCTGATAATGTAAAACAAAAAAAGCTGTGATTCAGGTAAAAATACTATGCATAAAATGAGCAGCCTGTTCAAACTTCTCATCCATTTTTGCTTAGCTGAAAGATAATAGTCAAAGAAACCCCGAGGAGTAGACATTTTATGCGTATAAACTCCGATCATTGCTATATATTAGATAGTGTTTCAGACAGCTTTACTGTTGTTATTCAAGTTACCGTATTCAGTTTGTTTTGAAAATCTTCAAGTTATGTCTATTAAGTCTGCCTAAGCGTGAGTTAATCTTCAATTATGTTTGTGAACACGAATGTCACAAGTTTACTTGATTTATGAACTAGATTTGAATGATGCTAACTACTCTCCTTTGGAGATTCATAAAAGTAGATATAGCTTTAGTGATGATTGCTCTGTGATGTTGATTAATTTCTAAATATATCTTATTATGGAACTGTATCACTTTCAATGTCACAATGAAAACCAGCTGCTGAAAGCTATTTTATAGCAGTTTTTGGTTATGTAAATGTGAAGACCAAATAAATTCTCTCAGTGTTCAGTTGAGGATATTCAGCCCTACTAGACAATACAGTTACCTAGGTGAATTGAAAACTGGTATTGGAGGGACTCGTCAAGACTAAGGTTGGTTAGTGCATTCAGTGACCTTTATGAAATACCCCAACACCTATGTAAGGATCGCCCTTGGCTTTGAAAATGTCGAGATGTGGAATCCGATGAAGCGACTATTCAGTACAGTTTTCTAATGAAACTACAAATAAGTTTGACATTGGAGAGGTAAAATAGTAGCATAATGTTCAGAATATTAAAAATAAGTCTAGTGAACACTATTGACTAGTGTAATTATCTTAAACTGTCACCTTTAACATTGTTGTTTTCTCTGTACACATTATAGCTGCCCCACCAATCCCCGGTAGGCCAATAGTTAAACAAGTTGAAAATCTTTCTCAAGTTCAATCACATGGTAAATTTTATCCTAACTTCGATAGTTCCAGTCTACCCAATGGGAATCATCAAAATCACCAACTGGAATTAGACTGGCCAAATTATTATAAACATTCAGTGAGTGAAAACAATCCAATAATTTTCTTAATTCAACTGCGAATGTATTCCACCGTACAAACACTGCATTCAACTTTACATAAATCAAATGGTGCATCATTTTTCCCAATGAAGAATTTCATGGAACCATTTCAACCCAATGAATATTTATTCAATAAATGGACTAATTTAATTTGGGTATGATTTAATATAGTCGTTTTCTACAAATTTACTCATTTGAATAAATTTAAATATCAGTTAATGATATTCCAGTTATGTTGTATGAGCTGTATTGACTGAGAAATCAGTGTAGATTCGAGTACCAATGGAATAAGTTTTCGCTGTACCCCACACATGTTGAAGCAGAGCATGAAACCCAGGTCTGTGACATCTTTCTAACGAGTACCGTTGAGAACCTATCCAAACGTTGGTAAACCTACTTTCATTCCGAAAAGAATTTCGTAATTCTATCAGACAGTAAGAAGAACTGTTTTCACACGTATAAGATAGGTAAAACCCATAAGAGATCTACTGAAATTTTTGACAAAATTCATTGATCCTGCTCAAATTTTTTTATGAGATAACATATTGCCCGTAAGGAAAAATAGGACTCACCATATTGAAAATGAATTACAGTATAATAGAAAGAAACTTAATTCTACAGGGATATTAACAAGCTTCTGCAGTCAGTTTTTATGTCAGATTGAATGGTGCATCCAGTGATCAGTCACAGATGGAATAGATGTGTACTTTTTATAGTAATCAATGTATAGGAATATTTTTAAGATTTCTTCGTTTTTGGCCGTGAGACAGTATCAGCGAAATCCAACGAGCGACACCTGGGTTATGTGTTAGGGGGTCAGTCGTCCGGAACCTTTCATGCTAAGCTTCATTCTAGCCAATATTTATCTGCTAGGCGTACTAGCATGCTTGATGAAAGTATTGTTCCATCTGAGTTTTAAACACTTATCACTCACAGTTGAAGTCACAGATTTTATCGAAAAGCTATAGAGCCCATACATGACCACCTTTAGGGATGAATTGTTTACAGTTGATCACTGCATCGTAACGTGTGTAACTGTAGAACTCTACATAATAAGTACTAACAAAATTCTATCAATCTAAGTAGGATAAATTCTGTGGAGACCATATAACTTTTATCAGTCTAACCAAAATTAATGAATGTCTCTATAAATTAGTTTACATGTTGTTTATATTTAGCTTTCTCCAAATTCGATTTCAACCATAGATTTTATGTGTATAGAATTCATAGTGATCCCATTTCTTGAATGCATCAATTCCTTTTGTTTTATTCTCTTACTTTTAGACAACAAAACTTGGAGCTGTCCTTTCAGATCTCAGTCCAGGAACATGGTATCAATTTCGCTTGCTAGCTATTTCAAGTGAAGGTTTTGGGGGTTGGAGTGAGCCCAGTGAACCTATTCGTACACAAGTACAATTAATTCCACCTTCTAGACCTAGAAATCTTACTGAAATAAGATCAAGAATTTTTGAAAACCATGTAGACAGCACAATCTACTGGGAGTCTCCGGAGGAAAGTTTATTTCCACTAAAAAAGTACCAGGTAAGTGAAATTATGGTTTATCTTCACAATTATATACTGCATCATTTCAATTGTATGTATAAAATTAGGTTATGAGAATAAGAACTGTGTAGAATAGGCTATGATACATTTATTTTCGGATAACAGCTTAAAGAGAAACTTGTATGGAATAACTTCAAGACATTATATTTATTGTTATGAATCGAAAACTTGATATCAGTTGTGTTTGCTTAAATATAACTTTGGTATTTGAGATGCAAAACTAGTTAATGATATTTTACTACAATTAATTAACTAATATTTACAGAAAAGTCTCTAAAAGCTGAATTTTCACTACTTTATGTTACAGATGCCACCTAACATGAAGGGAGAATCGAATTCTCTTTCCCTTGCATATTAACCATTACATTTGAAACTCCTAGTGCTAATCACCCAGAACCTTTGCATATTTCTTCGCTGTATTCGTAGATGGCTTCATTAAAACCAACATACCAAAAGGACTTTATTGCAAACATGAGTTCTCACCAACACAAGTTTCGCCTCAGTCAGAGTAACTGTACTTTCTCATGAAGCAGGAATTAAAACTAGTTAAGGATTCATTGTTTGAAATTAAATTCATTGGTTATAACGTGCTTGCGTGTTTTTATACTTTTCACAAACAGATAACTTGGCGTCAGTATTATGCATTTAATGGAGAAGATCGAAGTTCATTAACAGAATACTCAGCAAATGTACCTGGAGTAAGTCTCTCTTCGTACAGAATGAAAATATAGTGTCCAACTATAGTTTAGATCTCTATTAACGAATGTTAAATGTTTCGTGCCCAACTAATAGCTCCTTACCTTAACATGGCGGTCAGGCTTGCATATCACAGTGACCCAAAGAGGTGTGCTGTTGGAACAATTTTTCCCTCCAGGTCTTATGATGCCAGAAAGGTTTGTTGGATAGTGGTAATGTGTAAACTACTAAAATATGATGGGGACCTGGGGGCAAATTCGTACTGCGGCTAGCTGGATGGGGTGTGACAGAATTAAGGTGTTTCCTTGGATGACCAGAAATACCACGCTGATGCGCCTATCCAACTGGAATGGGGTTAGTAAACGCCGGCTCCAAAAATGGCACTCCCCATCATCTCGCGGCACGCATATGCTTGCAACAAGGAGTTAAAGTTGGACCCAAATCAAAAACAATCTCAAATTTACCAAACGTTCACGGGTGACCGGTTCAAGCAGATGTCCCATAGGCTCTGCGGTCACACAAATCTCGTTTTCTCAAAGGTATCTCAGGAAGAACTAGCACCCCATGGTGTGGGCAGCCGGGGAGTGTCAACCGCTCATTCGCTTTCAGTAGTATTCAAAACCCACTAAAACACAACCTATCCTAGCCAACTCTATCTCCTTCAGCTTCACCTCCCGCTACTAGGACTAACCCTTGATCCATCTCCATCATATTGGAGCCTACGAAGGGCTACCGATTGATTTGTCTGGGTCAAGCGATGTCTTTCAAAAATTCTCGCTTTTTCTACTTTTATTTAACTTTGCCACAAAATTTCTGATCAACATCTCTTTTACTTCACTGTACTTTAAAATTATTTCTCTCTAGGCAGGTGACATCTAGGTCAACTAAGATGTACCGTTGCTAGGTGACAAGACTGAAAAGATTCAATCTTCCTAACATGTTAAGTAACAACTTGGAAATGTTTGAGATGTAACACTTACCAAATGCTCATCATTGCTCCAAGATCAGCTTCAGTTAATACCGCGTCTAATAGTAAGAGTGGGTGGCTGACCCCTGTTCATTATTTTATTCACCATGGCAATCGCAGCAACTATTGTGTCAGTGGTGGAGGAACCCTCCGTATGGACACAAAAGGCTTGATTAGCTATTACCACCTTATGTCAACTGTAGTACCTGCAAAATATTCTGGTTACTTTAGGTTGGTGTTTATTTACCACAACGGTTAGAGTGTACGACCCAGCAATTTTTCGTCGTAATATACAGTATCGAAGCCTGATGAATAAAGTTGGAATACACAACACGGTTCCAGGTGGTCAACCACCATTTTCTTAGCGTTATCGACTGTATGTATGGAAACAAATGTGCAATATACAGGTTGGGAGGTTTGCATATTGGATCATGAGCGACACTCATTGTTGTAGCTCAAATGGCCCCATATAGCTGCGCGAACCTCAATAGGTGCTGCAATGTCCGAAACCGTGGCCATTAGTCAACAGTAGATGACCTAGACAAATAAGTACCAGCTCCCCACGCAACATGCTGAGGACAGCTGAATGGTCTCAAGGTAGTTTTCAACACAGATTGTCATATTTTGAAGGACCTATCACCACTTAGTACATCAGTATCAACATAGAATCAGACATTAATCCTTAGCGCTTCAACTTATCATACCTCATATCAGCATATGATAGTAGACATCATGATGAAACTCAGGGAATAAGCAAGGGAGCAATAAAACTTGGCAGAAAATCGTAAAGGAGAACATGAAGGAGTAAGTTAATCATCTACCTGAATGTGACTGCAATTCCTGTTCTAAGGAAACCTGGCGTGGTATTACGTCTGCTGTGGAAACAGCGATAAAGATATTTGAAAACTAACACCCAAAGGTCACCAAATGGCACTGCATTACCACGACGTCATCCGAAATGACTGGTGGAAGAAGAGTGATTCCAGCAGTCTCTGGACACAGTAAAGAGCGAAAGCAACTCACTCATAAATTGAATAAGAGTTTTTGCGTCGATCGCAAGCAGTGGTGAGTGGCGGAATCAAGAGATAGAGAAGGCATTAACTTTAAGTAACACCCAGCAATCACATAGGTTTATTAAGGATACCAGCAAGAAAAAGATGACGGTTAGTGAAACCATCACCGAAAAGGATGCATCAAGAAGATAACTTCTCAGGACAGGTGGCTAAAAAGTTGGACAGAACACTTTAAAGCACAATCCAACTGACACGCAACAATGGTTCAGTTTCTCAACATCCAGCCTAAACCTGAATGGGACGTAGATATCGGTCGTCCAACTCTTCTTGAAGTTGAGAAGGCTGTACCCAACCTGAAACCATGCAAAGCAGCAGGACTTCACAGTTTGTCACCCAAAGTTTACAATGAAGAAGGCAGGAAACTTCTAATTAGAATGACGGAGGTACTGTGTAGTGTATGGGAATAAGAGGTAGTGCCATCAAACTTGTCTACTTCACTGATCACTCCGGTCTATAAGAGGAAGAGGAAATCTCCTTGTAACAACCATAGAGGACTTAGTTTGACTAATATTGTGTCCAAGATCCTAGATTCCATAGTTATCCGACACTTAACTGGAGGTCGAGAACAGTAAACTCGAGAAAACCAGTCAGTTTTCAGACCTGGACGAGTGTGATGAATCGATCATATTTTCACCTTCAGACAGGTTCTGAAACATACGCATACCCACTGGCAGCCAACACTTGCCATATTTCTGCACCTCAAGGCGGCCTTTTACTCTCCTGACTGTGAGGTCTTATGAGAGTGTCCGACTGTGCAAGGAGTACCGATAAAGTATATAACGCTAATGAAACCTCTCTACTCGAATTCACATGGTCGTTTTATGTCTCATGGAGAAATGTCACGTGAATTGATGATAATGTTTGTTTCTGGCAGGTACGCTGACTGTCACCGTTCATGTTTGACTTCTTCATAGGCATCCTTATGGACACCACCTTAGGTCATCTGATTGACTTGAAGTATGCAGGTGATGTTGTCTTGCTAGGTGGAGACGCTGATAAAAACCAAATCAGAGTACGTTTGGCATCCTGGCACCTGTCAAATGTAAGATAATGAACCAGGACAGGTCACCGCCCCAGTTCAATGATGAGGAGTGAAATGGTGGAATATATCGACAACTTCACTTCCATGAGGAGTTGCATCAGGCTTATGGGCTGGTCGTTGACAAAATCTCAGCTCAGATAGAGAAGGTCCTTTCGGCAGTTGCTAACTTGAATTGTCTGCGGCTACGACTGGAGAAATATCCGACTATCTATTAAGGGACAAGAATACTGCGCTGCAGTCCGTTTTCTCCAGCTGTGTGGCTGTGAGACATGACCATTGAAAGTAGAGGACATGAAGCGACTGCAGGGTTTTGATTACATATATGTCTTGGTAGGATTACTCACGTTTAGTGAAATCGGGAGTTTGAGTCATGTTGAACCCAGGCGAAGGGTATTAAGCAAGATAGGCAAGTCGATTGATAATGTTGTGAACCTTACTCGACTGAGATGGCTTTGACATATACTGCGCATGCCAAGCCACTGCCTACTCGACGTGCCATCCTAGGAGAACTTGCATTAGCTTGAAAAAGGGTTCAGGGTGACCAGATTAAGATGTGGCACCAGTTGATGAAGTCTCTTACTGTTAGTCTGAGTCATGTGGGAAGATGTAGACTGCCTGGACCTTCGAGGCGAAAGGAATCAGTGGTTGAGGACTTTCGGTGAAATGACTGAAAATCGGTCACAATAGTGGAGACGTGTTCACTGTTTATAGTTTTCTAAAGCTTGAATGTTCGCACCAACCTTTATCTCCAGATTGTTTATTCTGTCACACTACTTTATAATCTCTGATGTCATTATTTTTCTATCCACCTATTCTTTGTGTACTAGTGTGAAGTGTAGCAACTTTAGGCGATGCATTTATGTGCTAGTTTCTGCTTAAATTTCGTAAGTCGGTGCCAGATGAGGTTCTTGTGTAATATACTGTGATGGTACGTACTCATTTCTTGATACAAGATATTTTCATAAAATTTGTACAAAGCATTATATAACAGTTTGTGTTGACTAATTTCCAACATAAATATTTATATGTAACTACGACAAACAAGAAATAACAATAACCATTGTTATGACGAAAAAAATTCTTCAGCTAAGTTAACTTTACTGATTCCGTTCTCATGAGGATCCTGGTTCTTTTCAGTAAAGCGTATATCCTGTTAATGCGTAACAGCAAGAAGGTAAACTGGGTAAAAGGATGCCGTCAGATTTCCCATATCAATAGATAAACTAAAAACCTCACTTAATTGGCATCATCTATTTATCCTATCAGTTTTAGCAGTCTCTACATAAGAAAAATTATATATAGATTATTTGCCGCAAATGAAGGTTTTCCATACTTAAAAAAAATTTCAAGGTGCCGAAATCTCTACATTCTACATGAATTACATGATCCACATGAACAGAAGTCGCAAATTCTTACTCAGACATAAATGATTAACCATAGGACAACAAAAAGGAATAAGAAGTCAAGAGGTTGACAGTAACAGTCATGCAGAGTGAATAGCCGTTGATATATCTCAGTAGATGCAAATTAAAGAAGTACTGAGTTGTATTCAATGTTCATTTTAGAAGAAAAAGACACATCAAATTATCAATTACAGGTAATTCGCATAGCCTTATAGTCAAAAAAAGACTATATCAGTAATTTCCAGCTAACTTTGATCTAGTCCAAGTAAACACAAACGACAATAAAAAATATCGACTCAGTAAACGGGAGACCTAATGACTCGAGGTTCTTGTAACACTATAAGACAATAGAATAGAAATAGATAAAGAATGCTCTACTTAAAGTGGAATGAAAATTCTCAAAAATGAAACTTTAGCAGTGACATCGCTTAGAAAAAAGGTGATCCGTTTGCAATTATCACGTTTAAGCAATTACGTATGTTTTGACAAAGAAATTCAGGCCTCCAAGTTTTTAAATACGTAGTTTTAAGGGCAGTAATTGGTAGTTGCTAGCCTGAACTCTACAACAAGATTTTCAAAAACGCAATCACACTGAGGATTGGTGCCGACTGTTGGAGGTCCATTGAAAGGCCTTGGCATAGTGATATGATGATATTCTCATGCAGCACAATAAAAATTGAGATTTAATTGTAAAGATAAATCCTGAACATTGCCCCTCAATAAGGATTGTCTCGTAGATTTGTAGACATGTTTCATTAAAATACTGGCAAATTCTCTGTTTACTTGCATTTTTAAGTAGCTAAAACAAGGATACAAAATATTTCGTATCTTTTCTAGAGTTACAACTAGTATGAACAAAATTAAAATATTTCGGAAAAGGATTCATTAGATCGAGTTATAAGAACATAGTTCGACATTATATTTGGAATTTGAGGTTAATCTACTAATCTGAGATGTTTTCTGCTTCATTGAACAAAATGTCAAACCATAATAGAGACTTTTCAGGAGTTTATTGATTTCAACATAAAATTCACCATGGACTGAAATCAGTTAGAGGACAACTGAAAACCCAGAAGCACTGGAAAGTTACTTCATCCTATTTTGGGACCTCTTAGTAAAGTTCTACGATGACTTCTCCAAAGATCGAATCCAAAAAATTCAGGTTTCGCAATGAACACGTTACCACTGAGTCACATAAAGCAGCTGTCTAATGGTACCTGGATTTTGATGTTTCTTCAAATGATACCAATTTGTGATGAACACTACCTTGAGGTCTGTAAAACCTCATAAACTCCATTCTAAGTTACTGTCCAATGCCCAATAGTGGTATTCTTTGAGATTCATTTATGGATGTTCTGGGAGGAAAGTGGTAGCTTGTGGGGTCAAGAAGTTCGGAAGTGAAGAGGATCATAGCCAGTGCATTAGAACAATGAACTCCCTGTCCATAAATAATACTTGGTTACGTATGCCTTAAAAGTCGTGCCCCAATGTGCAAATAATGGTCAATAAGATTCTCAGTATTGTCAGTTAAACAAATATTCCGATTTGTTCAACACTTATACATTCGAATGTCTTGTATTGAAATATACATGACCCCAATTTTTAGGTTGTTTTTATACAATTTATAAATGTGTTTGCAATGAATACTTGCATACGATCTTGTTTATATACAATAATACAATTAAAAATCACAATACATTCATGACGATAAGCTTTTTCCAAACGACGATTATGGTTTATCGTGAAAGTACCATCGTCAAGTAAATAGATTAACAATACGGATTACTTTGACTGATTTTTCTAATTTAATACCATTTCTTTTATAGGATAAAACAACGTATATTATTCAAAATCTTAAACCAGGAACAACGTATAAAATTGAAGTAAGTCATATAATTAAGCATACAGAAAATTTTTTTATTAACATTCAACAAACTTCCATGACTGTCGATCAATGTTTCACCTTGAAATGCTTTTTCGTAGCCTAGATTGTATAATGATTTGGTAAAAGCGGTAGAGAAAGGCAATCTGAAGTGGACATTTATCAGATAGACATAACTGAACAGTTTCATTTCTACCTACCAAGACAACGATTGAAATTCAAGTCTTCATAATCACTTTATATGACAACACTGAATTACTTACAACTATGATGATCTTCCCTGTGAAAACAAACATATCAGCGAGTGATACTTACTTCCTGTACAGCTTAATGATCCCAATACCAACGGTGAATTATAAACAAGTCGAAATCCCTATGAAACCTCCAGAAAACTAAACTTATTAGGCATAAACATACCGTGCTTTTAGATCAATCATACTAAAGTACTCACCTCTCAACATGCATATCATAGACATCAACTTACTTTAGACACTTCGTTACTGTCAAGTCATGTATAATTTGCGGTAGGAAAACGAAGCTATATCTATCAATATTCTACGCATACTTATATTCAAACAGTATATCACATTCCACTTTTGACGAAAAAGTCTCAGTTATCAGTTGTAGAATTATAAATCATGGACCTAGGCATACGTTTTATAAAGCGGATGGTTAGTTCAAATCTTACATTAAGCAGCAAATGTAACATCATTGGTCTTCAAACACAACTATGACCCATATATTTTTACACATGGGTACACCACAGTCACCAAGTTCTTGCGCTGGCTTAGTGACATTAACGTAATTTATCACTTCTGTCGTTCGCTTCCATACTTTATATTAATGTCACACATGAACTAACCTGAAGTTTTCATAGTTAAAATTAATAAGTATATGAGAAAAAATTTAAGAATCTAAATGAAAATTTAGTCTCTTGTGAATGTTGTTTGCTTTCCAAATAGTATTGATGAAATGCAAACAAAAATGCATCATTAGTGAGACTATCTTAGCTGTGGTTTGGCAGACTGGTATAATGGACACTGAGTTGCGTATCAAGAATTGATATGTCACCCGCTCAAAAGCTTTAATGATTAGTGTGAGATTGAAACCTAGCTAGCACCTGGGTCTTGTAGCTCAGTTAGTAGAGCACCAGGTAGGCAACCCGAAGGCCACTGGTTCGAATCCTGCCGCGATCCAGATTTTTATTTCCCCTTTAGTGACTACTAAGTGTCGAAAATGTGTCACATGATTTTAATTCAGATATATAGTGTTCTCCACTAAAAATGCAACCTGTAAGCTGCAGCTATATTAATCCTCCTACTTTTGAATTCCTGACAGAAGCCTCAGTTAAATTGATGCATTTACATAGATCCTCTAATCAAAGAAATATTTGTAAGGTTTCGATAGAAATACAGCCTGAGGTAAAATGTTCGGAACTACTATTGACATATTAGTAACTACAACCGGTGCAACTTCTATATACTATACAGATGTCATTATAAGAAACTATCATGAGAAGTTGAAGTAAAGTGCACAAAGCGAGTGCATACTAAATGAGAGAAGGTTAGGATAGCTACTAAATGGTATCAAAGTCAGGCCACAATATTCTTAACTTCTTGATCAAGAAGAACATTAAGAAGATATGCACAAGTGATACGACACTTTACTGATTTATTTTCTTTTGTTGAATACTATGAAGTGCTGGGCAGAAATCTGGTCTGTTGTTTATAATGCTTGAAGAAAAATTTTTAATGTTATGTGGCAGATACCAAAGTTTGAGATTGAGTTTCTACAAGTACCCTAACAGAAATTTATCACAAATAAAGTATAGTATACAGTTTCCTGTTGATTGATTTTGAATACCTAAACATACAATACTAACTCCACTTTTATTATCTGCCTAGTTCTTTATACACGAATATAATTATCACCATAACTGGTCCTTCATGTTCTCTTATTCAGGTGAAAGCTGTTTCCCTATTTGAAGGAAAAGAACTGAAGAGTCATCCAAATACACTGTATATATCGACAATCCAAATACCAAATCAGCAAACAGACACAGGCAAGTCAACAGAAATTATTGCTAAAACTTGCATATTCAGTCAAAAGCTACGTATTAATAATATTGTTGTTGTTGTTGTTGTTTTTGTTACTAGTACTAGTAGTAGTAGTGGTAGTAGTGGTAGTGGTGGTGGTACTGGTAGTAGTAGTAGTAGTAGTAGTAGTAGTAGTAGTAGTAGTAGTAGTAGTAGTAGTAGTAGTAGTAGTAGTAGTAGTAGTAGTAGTAGTAGTAGTAGTAGTAGTAGTAGTAGTAGTAGTAATGTGATCAACTCTAGAATTATAAGACAAGTATAAAAAAGGCAGAATACCTCACTCAGGTGGTTAAAGTTCAGCAGTAAGAAAGCGTGAACAAACGTTTTGTCTCAATTTTGGTTCTTATCACTACAATGCATAAACAATCCCAGAAAATTCATGAAAGTGACATTCAACCATGAAAACAAGAAATTCCAGTCTACTTTCTTTTTGTAGTAAAGTGTATTATGCTAGATGTGGAGTACAGCAAAGTTTGGTCACCTAGTTTTGTGGTATAATGACACAGAACTCCTGGTTGATTTGTTCAGGCACTCACTGGTTAAACGGGGATAGCACTGACCATTAGTTCTTAAATGAAATGTACAAAGCAAAATATCCTTTAAGCTATTACAAGGTTTAACAGTTGAATGATGACAATTTATCATTTCAGCGATTATGGATCTTAAAACTGATAATAAAGATAAACAAATAAAAAGTATGAGTTATCCTGTGTTGTAAACAAATAAATAAAGCAACCATCCAGCTCTTACTTATAAGAAAACACCAAGCATATTCTGATGACTATAAATGTGACCTACAAAATGACAGAGTTTGCGATAGGGGCTGTACTGAAATTATCTTCAACTGGAAGTCAGAATAGGTCCTACTTAAGAAGTCAACAAGTACCATCTTGTTAAAACCAAACTCTGATACCAATATAACAGATATTATGAAGGTACCTACCTCCAAGTATGTCACAGCACAAAAAACTCTTTTGATAGGAATAAAAATATTTAAAATCGATAACTTATCCGTGTACCTATATAATATTAAGTTGCATTCCCTTATTTCTCATTCCAGTATTAACATCTTTCACATCATCAAATGATAGCTGCATATGTGGAGATTCGAGACGAGATTACTTAACTGTCATTGAACAATACTATGAAAATCAACAACTTAACACAATTCTGTCTTTAAATGTAAAAATAAGTGAGTCTTTTACAGTATTTCTTTTCCCAAAAATACCAAAAAAACATTCCAGTAGATAAAAAGTGAAGTGATGTTGACAGCAAGTCAGTGTTAATTGAACAACTAGAAAGTGTCAAATAGCAATCTTATCTTGCAGTGGTAATTCTCAGGAATACTACCTTTTTAAACCCACTGAATGACGACAGAAACTATCACTATTCAATACTTTAAGGCATAAATTGAAAATGCACTTCTGTAGAGTGATTATCAGTTTAGTAGTTCGAAAGTGGACATGTTCATCGTGACAGATTGAAAACATAGGCGAGCTATAGATGTTTTTCTACTGAGGAGCCTCCAACAATATAGTAGTCCTTCAGTTCTATCTATTTTAAGTGTCCGATCCACTGTTATTGATTATAATTAAATATTTTCCTTAAAAATATTTCAGAAATCTCGACCTATTAATTGAAAGTGGATATTTCTCGTTAAATACAAAAGCCAACATATATTTTACTGTGTTTTGAGGTGAATGGGAATTTTGGTTTTGAGGCAGTATTAATCACGAACCGAAATCAGTCGAAACCATTGAAAACCTAGGAGCATTGCACAGCTGTTTAGTCTTAGTATATGATTCTTCAGCAGTTCGTACCCACGACCTGTCAAGAGGTCGAACTCAGGACCCTCAGGTTTCATGGCAGGTCCCGTACTAGGATGAAATAGTTATCCAGTCCTACCAGGTTTTGAATGGTTCTCCAAATGATTCTAGTCCGTGATGAATGCTATCTCAAAATATATTTTACTCGCGGAAAATAATCTTTATATAAAAATGCTAAACAGCAATTATAGTTGTCCATAGAAATCTTCAACCATTTAATCTCTACATAGTTACGAACAAGACAATGAAGTTAGTAGGACCAGCTTTCTTATTTATTTACCTTCATCAGGGAAAGAACTAATTTATGGGTTCGAAAGCACGAATGTCTTCTTTGACGTGACTTTCACTTTCTAATTGATATAAACTTCATCCTATATAGCTTATTTAACGAAGAAACTCTGCGAATGTAGTCAACAGTCGATAACAGTAATTTAAAAGCTAGGTGGCAGGTTCAGTTACAGATGTACTTCCTTTATTTTCAGATTAGTTGTAATTTTGATTACATTAGAAACATGTTTTAATCTATTATTATTCGTCCCTTGGGTTCCTAGTGGAACATAGGGCTTCAGTAGCACGTCTCCACTCCACTCTCTTTTCTGCAATCTTTTAAACCTGGCTCCACGACAGCCCACAAGCTCTCATTTCGTCCCCGCACGATCTCCTCCATGTCACCCTTGCCTCGAACGCCCAACTCGTCGTTTCCCATCGGGGTTCCACTCGAGGGGCTGGCCTAACGCGTGATGTCCCCAGTCGGTCTTCTCAGTGCATGTCCAATCCATCTCCGCTTCCTTCTGCATATTTGTTGAGTGATAGGTCCTTGGTTGGTTTGTTCCCAGAATTCCTTGTTGCTTATTCTTTCTGGTCATCCGATCTTCAGTGACAAGGTAGGCAGTTGTTGATGGATGTCTGCAGTTTGTTGGAAGTGCTTTTCGTAACGCGCCAAGATTCTGAACCATATAGAAGCACTGAATTGACATTGGTGTTGAAAATCCGGATCTTGTTTTTTGTGCTGAGTATAGTCGATCTCCACACTGGTTTCAGGTTAACGAAAGCCTATCTTGCCGTCTTTCTGATCCTGGCTGCTTTGACGTCCTCGTTTGTGCTGTCTGTAGTTGAGACAGTGCTGCTCAGGTAGGTGGAAGAGACTACTTCCTTTAAGTTTCTCCCGTTGATGGTGATTGGAGCTTGTTGTTGTTGTTGTTGGTTGGTTATCTTCATCACCTCTGTCTTCTGTACACTCACCTGATAGATGTGCCGTCTTCGTTGCCTCTTCCGTCAACTTGTTAGTTTTCGCCAGTAGATCTTCAAGTTTGTGTGACATCAGACACAAGTCATCGGCGAAATAGAAACCTTCTAGGATCTTTTCCCCGGTTCGGCGTATCCCCCTCTTCTCACTCCTCAAAGTTTGTTGCATGATTCAGTTCACTACAATCAGGAATATTATGGGTAATAGTAGACGGCCTTGTTTTGTTTTAATCTACTGATTTATATAAAAGCATCCATTACGGAGCTTTTGCTTCTCGATTTCACTTGGATATGTCATGAAATAATTTCAACATCCTTTCACATTTAAAAAAAATAAACTTCAGAGTAATTGGGTCTAAATATGGAGAATAACTTTCCTGACATTAAACTTCTTTTAGCGGTAGAGCTTGATGTATGCACATGCTAAAGAATTGCACAGTTCAAAATTCGTATCACTCCAAAATATGAGTGAAGATTACTCTTGTTTTTACAGCAAGGATTACAAACTCTCACACCGAATATCTATAGAAAAATAGTTTAAAATGAAAAAGGGGTTACATATCTCTTTTAGACGTTGGTGAAATGCCAAATTACAGAGTAGTAACAAAAATCTTCAATTATACATTTTCTACGATGGAAGTTAGTTGTAACATAAACCTTACAATAAATTCAGATGTATTCGCCGAACGGATATGTTCATGGAATCGAAGTAAAATCTAAATAAACTTAGTTAATTTTCATGCAGCAAGCAAGTAACCACATCCACTGAGTGAAAGCCAATGATACTAACTAAATGCTGGAATTAGGGTGGCATTTAAACCTACAAACTCACTCAAAGATAAACTTTGTAGGCTTCAGGATCCGATAGAACCAATTATGCAAAATAATCCAACTATCAAATTCCATGTAATGACTGTGAGGTCAAGTACATAGGTCAAACTAGTCGGTCGGGGTCAGTTAGAATAGCCGAACATAGAATAACAGACCTGAATAAGATCAGTAATGTAGAAAATACTCAGCTATTGCATTGTATGCATTAACACAACCACAAAATAGGGTGGGATAAATCCACTGTACTAAAGTCCAATATAATTAGGTGGAGAGATTGATTACTGAATCTTTGTTCATCGAATCAACACAACACATGTAATAGAAATGATGCAACACCTATACTAGAGATATGGAAAATTTTGCTACCAATCAAATGTCGAAAGTGGTGTGATTACACACTGATATGATTATGAGCAATGATAATTTATGCTCAAAAAGTCAAGTAAATAATACTAGATCACTGTGTGTTATAAATGAAATAAACAGATCTAATATGGAATTAAATTCTATCACAGTGCTCAAGTTTTACATCCTGTATTAACAAATACCCAAATCTCTGAAGGTGGAGAAGCGTTTGAACTCATGGATTATTGGTTGAAAGTTGACCATCTAGATTAATGGGCCAAAACTGCAATAAAGAGTTCAAATTGTCAGTTATCATTAAATAATCATCTGGAAGATGATAATTTAAACAATCTTTTCACTTACATTGTTGTTTATAAAATATTTTGTTGTAACATTGACACTAAAAATGGTTGAAAATGTTTTTGCAGAAGACTACAATGTCTTCACTTTTATGAAGAGGCTTTGAGGCATAGACCGATGGTTCAACAGAATGTATCATACGTTTATTTTACCGAGTTCACATTCTATAAATTATTTAATCCGACAAAATTGGAAATAAACAATTATAAAAAAGCTATCCAACAAATATTTCAATAGTCTTTTTAAAATTATTCAACATTTTAGATAAAGAACAATTCAATTTAACTGGTTCAGTAACAAATATAATCTATACTGTTGAATGGACTCCAAGAGTTTGTATTGAAACACAAAATCAAACAAGCTCAGAATTCATTGGAACACAACGAAAAAGAATTCCAGTAAGTGCTGAGTATTTTCAACTATTTTGAAGTAAACATTTTCAAATTAAATAAGGAGATATTAGCAGCATACATAATACAGTAATTATGAAATTTTAACTTGTTTACATGCAAGAGTGGTATAAGTCATCATGATGAAGATATTGAAATTATGCTGAGACATGAAGTTCTGATACATTAAATCTTACTTTTAAGCTATAACGAAACTCCACTAATTTTAAAGTTATCATCATTTTGAAAACATAAACTAGTTGGCTATTGAAAAATGACTATCTTTATCCTATTCGATCTTCCGTGATTCTCAAATGGAAACAATTAGTTGTCCAGCAACCCAAGTAATGTAGTCTTTGTTTTTTGTATGTTATAGTTTCTAAGCTACATTTTTCTAATGACCCATAATAAATAAAAAATCTTAGTTCGAAGCCTTTTTCTAAATCATTTCTGAACATCCGAAAATCTCAAAATATTTACTAAAATACAACGAAATAATCACAACAACAAAAATTCGGAAACTAATGCTCGTTGGGTAAATTCGGTAGTCTTAGTCTTAGACTGGTATTAGAAAGTAACGTTTCTATAGTATATGATCTGATATAAAAAATAAAGTATCTCACCAATGGAATAGCATGAACGATGTTACGAAAATAATGGAAATATGAACCACAAGCAAAAGTAAGAAAATGGTATGACCGTAAAGTGACACACGATGGATATTTTTCGGAGACTGAAGACTAGCAAGAACCCTATGACAGTAAAGGAATTCAATGGGTTTCTGCATTATGTTAAGCTTGCTTAAGTGAGTGAGAAGATTCATTTTCCTAACGGCTGACGAACCACGAATATCCGAAATTTTTTTGGAAAGCTTTATTTAGAAGTTAAATTTATCTACTCTCAAACGTCACACCAGGAACTATATTAACTCCATTCTCTGACGCGTTCCAGAGTTAGCACGAAACATGTGACTACTATCCTCTTCGCTCCTCGAGTTGTAGCCAAATGAATGCCATTTATTCCCTAAATATGTCACTACAATTACTAACTAGCAAATATAGTCAATGAAATCACATCTGGACCTGTTTACCATTCAATAATGAAATGACTAGCTGAAATCCTAGAGTCTGTAAGAAGACGAATTACTACCTGCTCTCTACGAGACGCTTTAAAATCTGCTGACTCCATTAGAGACGTGAGCGTTTCTCATAAATGTATGGTATCACTTGATCCCGACTCGCTTTTCACTAATATTTTGATTACTGAAACTATCTCTTTCTTATGCAGATATACAGAAAATAACAACTTGACTATCGAGATAATGACCCCTACCTCAAGAAATTATTACTTAGATGCACATTTAACTCTCAGTTCACATTTAACAAATGATTTATAGACAAAAGGATAGGACCACTATAGGATCCCTATTATATCCATTAATAGCAGACTGCTTTATGGCCAGTTTGGAGAATGGACGCTTAAAATCAAAGATTGAAGGTTTTGAACTGTAAAAAAGTTACGTGGATGATGCTTTTACTATCTGTGATAATCAGTGTGATTTGAATCACATTCTACAGACATTTAATAACTGCCGATCATCAATTAGATTCACTCTTGAGGTCAAAAAAGGGTGGAAAATGCAATTTCTTGATGTAGAGCTAACGAGAAAAGTTGATTGGACGTGAGGAAGATCAATTCACAGAAAACGATATGAAATGGTAAACTGACGAACTTTCATAACTGGGTACCTACGAGTTGCATACGGAATCTGATCATATCTCTTGCCACTCATATCAGACAAATCTACAGTCCTGTGTTGGAAAAGGAAATTTATGTTTTAAGGAATATTCTAATTGATAACAGATCTTCACCACGGTTCGTGGAAAAAATATGAAGCCAAAATCTCACAAAGAGAGCCCTATCACCGTACCGAAAGGGATAATTCATATGAATCTAAATTCCGAAGGTGATAATGTTGCTGACAGTTAAAACAAGGGGATATCAAAATCTCTAAGGAGACTAATATTTCTTGTCACCCAATGATTTCTAACTACTGGAAGAACAGACTTTCACATCAATTTACCTAATGTTTTGCAGCCAGGTATATAGGTCATTCAAAGCAACCGTTATCAAAAAAGTTTCAGGAGTACTGTCCCGTATGGTTACAAACAGGTAATAGTGGAGAGATGAGAAGTGCTATACTTAAACACATGGTAAACACGCGTCACCTTATCTCAAGAAACTCTTAGTTCAAATTCATTTATAAAAAGAAAAGAAACTTTTCAAAGGCTGTATATCTTCGTATCCTCTGCATCCCTGGAGCTATTGCCATCCATACGGAGAAACCTGAACTTTATACGCAGAAGATTGGTCAAAAATTTCGCCTTTCATGGTCTCAATTTTCATCCTTTAAAGTTACCACTTCTTTTTTACACGGTTCACTTCTTAAGTAACCTACTATTCATTCTTGATTCTACACTCTTTCTGATCCCACTTCAATTTTCAAATATTTTGTCATGTTAAAAAACTTCTTATCCCAACCTTAGTAATCTCTACACAAATCTAGTCATATCGTGATTAATCTTCACTATTCATCACAGTTTTTTTTCATTTTAATCACAGCTCATATAGTGAGACTATTTTTATTGCCATGCTTGACAAACCACTTATAACTATCATATCCTAACACAAGAAAAATACATAAATTTACGATTCAGCAGCTTTGAGAATATTAACGCCAAAAGGAAACCTTTCAATGAAGTACTTGTTCTTGTTTCATATTCTTATGGATATCTATCACATACTATATTTACATCTAGCCTCCATCAACCCATCTTTTTTATCTTTCAGAATTTCTCTGCAATTTTCATTTATTTTACCTATTGATACTTCTTTTTCTTTTTTACCATCGGTTTCAATAGAATTGTTACCATTAGTCTTGGTAACTGTATGATCCGTAATCTCTCAATGTTAGAACAACCTCATCGATGAAACTCTTCAAAATAAAACTATTCTATCGATCTCTTTTGAAACCTTAAAGTTTTTCATCAAAGAAACTCCACCCAACTTGAATATTACTATCAATGATTATTTTATTTCGTCTAAAAAGTTCAATTTCATCACTTATCATATACATAAAGCTACCCATAGGAACTCCAATAATATATGCGTAGAACCTCGGTGCCTTAATTAAGTGCAATTTCATTTTAAGTGTAATAAATAAACTGGATCAAAATCTCCAATAGAACAGATTTCAGTGAATCTTACTTTCTGATCCTTTTTTCGATGATTAAGTTTAAGATACTTTGAAAATTAGATGATAACTTATCAAATAAGTTCGGGTGAAGGATGAATTCAAATGTTAAGGGTATAGCTACTCCATAGAGTAACAACTCCGGATCCACTCATTAACAGTCCTTGTTCAGATATTCCATGGATTATTAACTTCTGTTTATATATATATATATATATATATATATATATATATATATATATCATCATGAAAATGCATTCCTATTAGCGTTACATTCATGGTAAAGGGTTCCAGTTGTGCAATATAATGTTAAGAAACATTTTAAGTTACTGCTTAAAGTTTTTGATTTCTCGAACTAATTTTATTCGTTCATGTAAATCACAGTGTGAACTACTACTTGATAACTAAAGAATAACTTAGTATACTACTTAATTTTTCCCATACTACTAATTCTAATTCACTTTCTTATTCCAGGAATATGAATTGCGAAATATACTTTTAACTGGTTTACAGTTCCAGTGTCATTATGAAGCTAGTGTATTCGTTATGCCAAGTCATAATAACAGTCAATCAAGAAGTAATCTGCCATCAGTATTCAAGTGGACAACATGTTTTTGTACACCACCATGTCAGAGTGTTGTAATCAGAGATGATATAGCACCAAAACATTGTTATGTTTCAAGTGAGTTAGATTAAAGTTGTTTTACTTGATTCTTTCATATGAAAACCCTGCTAGTTTTTTACATTTAACATCACCAATACAAAAGTAGCTTCCGGTAGACAGATGAAGGTTACTCAACCACCAATTAGCAAGTTGGAAAAGAGGAAATCGTTATCTATTTAAAACTGAAAAATTTCCTCCTTATATCATATTAGTGAGATCAAAGTCTTTTACTAAAGAAAATTTGTAGCTACTCCAGTGTTGTTCAGGAAACACCCTATGAATTTTCAATCACAATGTAACGTTTATCGAAAGGACTATTTTTTGAAATTATATTGTCTACAAAGCCTTTAAAAATGACCCTGGAGTATCTGTTTCTTGTAGAAACACCTAAATTTAAACACTGAAATATGTGAAATCATGAATTCACATATGAACTGTATATGAGTACACATGTCTAAGCCAAAAAGAAACTTACATTGGGAAGATATTTCTATAAAAGGACTACACGAGATGTGAAGATAAAACTTTATCTTTCAGGTTCAATAATAGAGGAAATGAGAATTCAAATGAGCGTCCTGAATCCCACTGCTAGCCACTATTCATATCAAATAATTAAAATGCTAATGTATCCATCCCCTGTGTTCTGAAAATTATGAGATACAGCAACATATACTTCGCACTGACAACATATATGATGTAATAACAGGTAGTCATAACAGATGGTTTCTTGACTTCAAACTTCCACTATAACTTTGTAATAATTTCTGTTAGTATCAATTTGAAGTTAAAAAGTTTGATTATTTAAATGAAACATGAACCTTCCTGTTGATTGTTTTCGAGTACCAAACACATAAAATCTTGCCTTCAATCAACAAAGTCCATAGTTATGTATTGATTGGAATATAACTAGAAAATGAATTTATCACACATATGCTGGGTATATTTGATGGAGTATTAGGAAAAGCCATGAGAAGTCATAGTGTGAGGGTCACGATAACTAAATGTGAGGACAGATACTAACCTAATGAGGTTCAGTGATGACTGTAAGATCTTGAGAATTCTGTGATTCAATATACATTTCAAAAGCTAATCAAATCATAATCACTTGTTCCCTTTATGCTTTTCTCTTCTTCAAGCTCCTTCATCACTACTTCAACCAGTTGAACTGACATACACCCTACTGACTAGTGAAAGTCCTGGAGAACTTGATCCTTTAAAATCTGATAAAATCGATGGATTGATAGTTGAGGCTGAAACTAATATACCTCCATTATCTAAACAGACAAGTGTAGATACGACTTTGGATCCAATAAATTATACTGTAATTGTTACATGGCATCCGGTTGTCTCTTCTGGACACTCAAGAAGTGAATCTAGACGTGCATCAAGAACATTAAAAAATCGACTGCCGAATATCAAATCCTTAAACGCTGAAGTACGTGGTATTCGGTTAACTTGGGGTCCAAGATTATATGAACCGATTGGATATGAGATGTACAGTAATATCATAGAACCACTCATGGATCCAGAGAAAACACAATCCAAAGTTTTAGACCCAGTGAGTAAGAGTTTTATGAATCTTTACCGGCAATATATCAATGTTAATAAATTGTCCAATTTCCTTTTCTTTCTTTTTAAACAATACTGTAAGGACAAATAAAAAATATTAAACTGCTCCTAATTTTGAAAGGAGTCAAAATCGCCAAAAAGTAGTAATCTAATTTATCCAATTACTTGTTTCGATAATAATCATTAACCATAACTGAGGATTTAAATCGTGATAGAGGGTGATGTACACGCGTAATTCGCACAAATATTTCAAGCATGTTAAATGTTCAATTACAAACCATAAAACCTGTAAAGAAGAGGATTCAAATGAGAATTAATTGTGCGCAGAAAATTACCAAGCCCATTTGAGACGATTATCGTAATTTATAACTTCTTTAAAAAGAAACTTTATGTGACACGCTTCACATTCTACTGAACTATATACCCAATGAATAATAAAACGAAGTGCAAGAAACAATCCTCGTAGCATGCATGTTAGCACACTACAAAGAAGAAATTTACTCATAAAATAATCCATGTTTAATGTTTGGTTATAAGAAACCAGATAACGTCTCACCATATTGTGTTCAATCAGTAAGATATATCTACGTCGTTAGAAAATCCATGCTCCATCGGATTATCTAAAGTATACCTTTGAATACTTCGATCATATGTGATCACGAATTTAGTGTACTAAATTCAGTGATCAGGCTGTGCAACTTGACTGATAATTTTCACGTAGATTTTGTAAAATATCAATGTAGAGATTACCAGCCATCTACCGTTTTCTTTGCATAGCAGTTAAGTTCATTCGAAATAACTATATATATATGCCCAAAAGTGACTTGAAAACAAATTTCACGTTATTAAAACATGAAAACGCTTTATTATTTATTGGTACTTTCAATTTCACATCATTATTCTGGATCGAACTGACCAACCTATGTTGCCATATGGGCTCTTATCAATGTCTCCATATTGCCTGATTATTGATTATGTTATGATTTGATAGGAAATTACAACATTGAAAGAAGCAACTGGTATCGTATGTGTTATTAGTTCTATAGTTAGAATGATTTTCACAGTCGCTCCTTATGTATGCCCAAAACTATGCTTTTGCGATTAAACTATAAATTTCACATTGCAGAATAATTTAGTCAAATGGTGTCGTTATGAGACAAAAATAGATTTCATCTAAGTTATTCGATCATAATTTTAAATAAAACTTCTTTTTTTAGAGTGTCCCTGGTATTCAGCTCAAAGGATTGAAACAAGAAACTTTGTACATTGTTCAGGCTCAAATGATTAGTGAAAGAGGAGACGGACCTGTTTCACGCATCTACTTCATGACACCTTCCAGTAAGTAACCATTTTGGAAAAAAGTTATCAAGATTTGTTCTCTCTAAGAGTGAAATTCATGTTTAAAACGTTGATATATAACTGAATACCTGAACAACTTAATGAAGGTGTATCCTGAGTTAATGATTTCCAATGACTATCATCTACAGTATTCCCGAAGTACTTTCACAAGAACCGAAGAAAAAACTTTTCCGCAAGCAAAAAAATAACTAATTATCTATATTCTCAAGTCTTTGATTCCAGAAAACTTATGATGAATATGAGGACTGACATTTCACTAGATTTCTTATTAGTAATTTCAACGCCTGATAAACATTCCTTAGTAAGCAAATAAGGCCGTGCAACAGATGGAAAAAAGTAGATGTGAAATATGATGTAAGATGGGATGTGCTTGTCCCCACAGACGGTGAAAAGTCAGTTATTTATTCGAAAGATGACTACAGCCAGATACACTAGTGCTATGTGTCTAAGCTCACCTCAGCAACAGAATACATGCCTGTGCTGTAAGTGATAAAACACGCCCGCTTTTCCAGAAAGGAAGAATGTGGAGAACACTTCAAACGGTTAATCGTTACGAATTAGAAATCAGACTATATCTTTCTCACAGTTGTAACTGTAAAATTAAATGTACCGAAGCGCATAAAACAGACCGTAAGGTTGTGAAAATTAAAACCACCAGAAAAGGCATCTCTGCAAAATTTCTCTTCATATCTAACTCCCTCCAGAACCCAAAAATGTATCCCACAGTCTCAGTGCTTGATTTATAGTAATAATTAGGCAAAATATCTTAGAATATGAGAAGCTCTGAAGAATGTTGTAACCCTCTTTACAAAAATCTCAAATTTAACATCTAATCATCAAACTTTTTTGACCAAAGATATCTATCAAACATTGCCACTCTATTAATACTACTTATTATATTACTAATTATTTTAGTTATGCTGAAAACACCCTGCAAATGAATTGTACAACATAAGAACTAAATACATTATTTTAAAGATAAAACAAAAGAAAATTAAAAACCTTCATACCCAAATAACAGTCAGGTCTATGGTTCTTCTTAACAGTTGTGTTTTACTCGGTTCTCACGTGAACAAGAGACGTAATTGGTCACTTAAAAACGGCTGTAGTGTAACCGACATTAGCTGACAAATAACAGTGTTGATAAACCGAATATCATTGGTGTAAATACATTCTCATCTAAGATCTGCTTTTAACTTAGGCAATCAATAATCATCCACACTTATTCCAAATACTCTAATTGCTTTTCATCTGTTAGATGATCAAGATAGAATTTTATGAAATTTAAGAGAAAATCTAGGTGTAAAGTTAGAACACTGATAGATTGCGACTCTGTATTATGTTAGTCTAACTGACTGATATAATATGAAGAAGAAAATGTTAGTCAATTCAAATCTGTCTAATCAAGTCTGGAATGAACAGGTTGATTTAATCAAATGTACGACAGCGAAATATCCAACGCATATTGCTCAAATGATACTTTTTGAATGTTTGTAAATAAAGATAATTACAGTTATGCAACATTTTTCCCTTTTAATATCACGTGTAATTATTTCTCCTGTTTCCAACGTTCCTTTTACAATTTTAGGAGGAACTAACTCATTATACAATTATCAGTCGATTCAAGAAAGCAATATAAAACTCTTATTCATTAGTATTCTGTTACAAATGATACGAAATTATATGTCATGAAACGATTATATGCGCCACCGACTACATATATATGGTCTTCCAGCCTGTATCCCACTTTATATTAACCATCATATACTACTTAATTCTTGTAGATAAACAGATGTGAATACATTTCTCACTCCTATACAGACGAAAGAGTTACAGTGCCAAATAGCAGCTGTAGTACTCACTGTACATAATAAAAGCACTGTACCAAACTATTCCGAATAATATCGAATAAGGGAACGGTAAAATTAGAGCAAATGAAAAATTTTAATTACCCTGTATTGATTTTTATCACTAATTAATGAATAAATAAATAAACACAACCACCATAATTTCAGTGTCATATATACTGATGAATGCAAATACAAGAAACTGATAGCCGGATGTTGTTGTTTTGCCCTAATTCAAGGAACAAGAGACAATTAAATAAAACAGGTAGTCCAGTGTCGCTATGGTGAAAGATATGAATCAGAAAAGCTATGTGATCAAATATTTTTCATTATTATCTGTGTTATAGCCTTGTTTGAATATGAATTAAAATTGAATTTTTTAAAAATACATTTCCAAGTTTCCCCTGTTTTTCTCCACTGTACTACCTCTTCAATAGTTCGACTACTTTGTTCTATAGAATATGAAAGATAAGCGATAATGATTAGTCTAAGATGAATAAACATTTGCTCAGTTAAAAGTCATCACTGGAAAAGTAAACAACTAAGCAGCGAAAAAAGTTTAAATTATCACACATTTCAGCAAACTGGTTTACCACATCCAAAGCAGAAAAATAAAGGTAATATTCTTGTATCGATCGGATTCTTTGGTGATTAGACTGAATTTCCCCTAGATATATGACTATACGGGGGAAGACTTTGCTCATGGGATCATGTCTTTTTTTAAACCAAAGTTGCATCACTTTGGATATGCGATTGAAGTGAAAATGAAGCACACATAAAGTGAAGCAAGTAAACCTTAGTTAAATAGTGTTTAAAGCTGTCTATCTAGACAAACAATGTTTATCGTAGTCAAAAACTGTGGAAGTAATTTTTATTGAGTGTAGCTTCATCTATTTCGTAGTGATATTCCCTATCTCTAAAGTTAAGTGACTCGTACTTCATTTCTAGTTTGTCTTAACTCTAGTATTAGATAATCGAAGAAAAAAGTATAGACTGACTTTTCATGCTTTATGCTACTCATAAACAAGATCCGTCTAGAACTTTAAAGAAACGTAGTAGTTCAGTATCACTTTCTTTCCTGTTCCGTTAACAAGAGAAATGTACCAGCCTATAGCACATTTTTATCAAACTCCTGGATGAGAAACAATAAATAACAAGACGGAAAATATCTGTAAACGCCGGTTTGTTCCGAATTCATCATCGCTTCAAGGTGATATACTAATGGGAATCAAAATCAAACAATTTCATCTCTATAAAATATATTTTGAAATAATAAAATTTATCGTAAATTATATATTCGTTTTTAATCTTATCTATACACTTCACAGTTCATATAATAAGAATGTGAAAAAGAAACTGCACAAATCTCATGTCAATGCTGTAAAATATGATGATAGGTAGAACTGAGATCCACAACAAAATTAGACAGCCAAAATTAAAAAACCGTGAACTAATCTTCATCATCCGAATCAGCAACAAGTACAGTACGACTGCTGACTACAGATGTCTGATCCATTAATGTTGAACTTAATAAGCCTGTCACTGCTGTCGTTTTCGTCTGTTCCCATAAGTTGGTATGATTAAGCTCAGTAGTTTTTGTATTATCCTCTACATAAGAAGTTTCTTTACTTTGGAAGTTTGCAAAGAGAGCAGAATGAACCTGAAAATGTAGACGAAGTAACAACTTTACATTCGCAATAACAAAAGTTTAAAAAAGGGAAATACTTCAGCTTTAAGAATACAATAATAAAACATGCTGAAATAACACAGTATATAGTATAATAGTCTATCTACCAAGATGCCAGAGGGAAAAAACATAGTAAGACAGTGAACAGGTAATCAGAGAATAGTGGAACATCAAACAAATTACTGACGATAACTATGAAGTGCATTAACGTAATTATTACTTGTGAAATACTGTCACCTGAAACTTCTAATGAAGAATTTCTGCTAATATGTGAGTTTCAACTATCAACCCATATGAGACTTAGACCAAAATATAAGCTTTGTATCATCTTTTGGTTAGAAAGAACAACCTGAGATCATTTAGACTATAAGTAAGTATGAATAAGTATGCACAATACACAGCCACAAATACTACTGCAGTCTATGCAAGTGTACAAAACTTATCAGGTGGGAGTTTTTTTACAACTAACTTATGCATTGCCATCGTACCATAATCCAAGATGCACTGAAACAATAACCATAATTTTAATAAAATTCGAAAATATTGCTTAAATAAACTAGAGGATTATTAAAAGGTATAAAGTTGATTGAGGTTTTGAATTAGTCGTGAGAGAAATATCTTGAATGGTTTTTGAAACATAACTGTACAACTAACATATTCTCTAAATCCATGAATACACTGCTGATAATTAGAGTACTTCAAAACTGTGGTGGAAAACTTCATAACCTTCATCTCTGTCAAATAGTTACTAACTAGAGACGATTTTGAAAGTGTACATCAATTTCACTCACTGAATGAGTAAATACCATTTTGGAAGTATATGAATTCTGATGACCAGAAGCAGGTGACTGACCAAAAATGGGTATATCTATGCTTTAAATTAGTGTCATTCCATGAAGTGATAACATATGTTCATAGGTTGTAGATAAATCTTTTGCTACTGTATAGGAAGATATTTAAGATGATGAATGTACATCATTATTAACCAGTCCGCAGTATACAACTCAATTCTTCTATAAAAATCTTTACAAATTCTAAAGAAACCAATTCATAATATCATCGAAACCGTACAGACTAGGTTCATAGGCAAACTATAAACAGTTATCTAAAAACTTCATTGAATTTCCACTTTCTCCATAAACCATACATATAAAGACTTAGAGACTTACTCCCCATTGCTTTCTGGAAAAATGTATCAAAAGTGTAAAGTGAACCAATTGGTAAAGCATTATTAAATAATACCTTAACTACATCAATGGGATGAGAAATTCAAAACATATGTTAGTGTAATTAACATACCTTTTTAGGCGGAATCTCATCACGGAAATTGTGATCATGATGGGAATTTATGATCTGAAATTAAAAAGTGTTTAATAAGGTTCGTAAAAATGAAAAGTTTTATTTGATACAGTATAATGGTGTGTTAAGCTTCGCGATAAACGTGTTCAATTACACATCTTAAAAATCATCATCAACATCAACATAGGATGAGGCATTAGTGCACAGTGGTCCAAGTTGCCACACTTCGCATCATTACATCAAGCAACAACCCATTTGGATGAAAGGTAAATAACTAATGCAGTCAAAAGTGTTAATAAGTCATTAAAAGACGGCAAAGAAGCATGAGAGAATACTGAAACTCAGTATGAAGACTAAGATGAAGTTGATGTGTGGATCAACCATGTCACCTAGAGTCTCTAACCAATTATTTATGTTGTCATATGGACCTCAACAGAGAAGTCCACATTTCCCTACACTAATCAGATCAACAGTCAAAGACTTCAACGACTGATGCTATGTTTTATTTTGACTACTTCTCACCATTTTAAAACCTAAACTTATTCAGCTAACATTGTGCCACGAAGAAGATGGTAACAGAGCAGGAGTAACACATTTCGCAGCCACCTCAGTCGATAAACGTTCATAACTTCATTAACTGACTATCCCTTTCTCCCTAAAACCCTACACCTAACTTCTACGTTACTGATATGATGGCACCACGAACCGCGGTCTATGCCGCGAAGGTGGTGGTGGTGGTGGTCGAACACCTGAATCCTTCTTATGTCTTCCAGTTTTAATGACCATGTTTAAAGCACATATAATAGAACAAAACGACCTGTAGCGCAGTACACTCGACCCTTAATAGACAATCGGATATCACGGCGGCGCCATAAATGGCGTAAGTTTGTGAAAGGCAATCGAGTAAATTGTATCTGTGCAGGAATTTCGTTGGCTACTGACCCACCAGCGCTGATCTGACTTCCCAAGCAAGTGAGGCGGTTAACGCACTAGACCATTTCATTCCCTAATGTTAGACGAGGCAACAAAAAAGATTAGTTGTTGAACAACAATTTCCATTTGAGTTGCGAGAAGCGCATCCTAAGCATTCTCAAATTGTCATTTAAGGTGTTCAGAAGACTGCACCTCATTGGCACCTTCATATAACAGGACTACGTAACATGTGTACCTTAAATGTACCAAGGATTCATCCGTGATAAGATTGATCCCTATGAAGTGAGACAATGAGAGAGAAACTCCGTATATACGTCTATAAAAAAGCTGAATAGGACTGGAGAGAGTGGAACATTCTTGAAGGACACGACTCGACATACAAAACTCACCATAGGCTTTAACATGTCCATGGATGCTTAGGTGCAGAGCATTCAACAAAGTGATGTACCTAATCAGCCTTCCTTTCAGCGAAACACTACCATTAGACTTCTCATCGACTGAGTCAAATACCGTCTTCAGGTCGAGAAATACAGCCAGTGTCGTGAGTCGTCATGTTTACCCGTGTTCCATAATTTGAGGGAAGGTGAATATCTCGTTGATTACACCTACAACCAGGTCTGAAACCTACTTGATTTTCGCGGGTTTCCCGTTTCGCGTCCCACTCACACGTCTAATGATTGCAAAACTTAAAATCTTAGATACCATGTTCGTGAAACTGATTTACCTGTAGTTATCACAAAACATTTCCCGCCTTTCTTCAAGACTGGGACAGTTGGTGATTGAGATCATCAGAAAGGATCATGTCTGACACTCATACAGTAACTAACAATTCAGATGACCTGATTAATAATCATTTACCATTACATCTTTAAATATCTCCAGTTTCAGTCCGTCCGGTGTTGATGCTCTTCTTTGTCTTAAATTACTTAAAGCGTTCTTGACTTCTGCAAATGTTGAGGGTCCTATTTTGATTTCTTATCCAGGATCCGACAAGAGAACAGGCAACGAAATAGTAGGTGGAGACCAGTCGAATTGTTCCATCGTTCCACTAGTCTCCCTTGCAAGTAAATCGTAGATCCATCCTTCTCCGCTAAAATGTCACTAACCGCCGACCTTTTCGTCCTCATTTCCTTGACAAATCTAAATGGTTGCATAGTGCTTTCACAGCTGCGTTTTCCATCTCTTTAGCCTCCACTACCCACCACTGCCCACAGTCATTGAGTAGACTCTACATCAGTCTACATTTGAGTTGCTCCGCTCCTCATTGCACTCAAACGCTGCAGAGGTGTGTTCACATGCGTCCACTAGTTCAGAAGCTGCTGAGATCCAATGGACCTTCCTAACCACTCTGAGAGTCAGCTACAGACTTCAACGCTGTTTTTACAGTGGACTGGAGATAGTACCAAATTTCTTCTGGATGAGTGACAGTTGAGTTGATGTTGGTGGACGCCGCATCAGACAATGTGTCCTTCATGTCTGAAGTGGATACAAAACCTACTGGACACAAGACCAGGAAGAGGAGCAGATGTAGGCTCACGCCACTCACTATCTAGTGCAAACATTCAAAATTAAGTTGGAAGCCTTCAGGGAAGTTAGCGATAGACCATGGTTCAAGTTCAACATACAGAATACAAACTGAAGGGTAAAACTAAAAAGGACATCTTCACGTCAGACATCAGAAAAAATGGGAGACACTGAGCAACACCCTGAGGAAACCAGTATGGAAGAACACTAGAACTCTTCGAAGAGACGTGAAAGGAGACCTGCATAACCGTGTTAGGAGGGAGGAAGAAAAAAGAACGAATGGATCTCCACGGATACATGGGAGGAATTTGATGAAACGGAAGACAAACCAGTCCAGTGCAGGGATGAACGAAGAGAGGAACTGAATACAACCCGTAAACACCACACTGGACAAGGAAGTGAAGAAAAGTGCGCGCAAAGACAACCACCAACCTCAACAACAACAACAAGTACCAATCACGTTTGGCCTTCGTTAGGAGGTTAGACAGTTGTCTACAAAACTCATCCTTCACTTTTTCCAAACGGTAGTCCATAAATTAAACAATGTGATACTCACTTGAGGAACTCTCGGACATTATTTTAGTCCAAAATCCTTCACAGCTGGTAAGTGCTTCAGTCTCATGAGATTAAGTAAACAGTGGAATTGCAGTCAGTCACAGAATCCTTAAGCAGGAGACCAGACCAGACTACAAGCACCTGGTCTGGAATTCACTGACATCAATTCCATTTGAAACAACCAACCTAAAAATCATTCCCAAAGGAAACTCAAGCAGTAAATACCTCTAAACTTATCTGGTAAGATCGCAGTAGTTTAAATTGTGGTGGACGATGTTCCATGAAGACAAAAAAGTGAAGCTGCAGTACAAAGTTGTCAGTTAAAGTAGGAAACCGCTAGCTTAAGATAAACAACCTTACACTGTTTTGTTTCGAACTGCATTCTGACCTATTGAAGCATATTGAAAGAGTTCGACATTACTACTATCAACAAAATCTCTCTCTTCAACAAATTTAACAGCAACTATGTTGTTCAAATTTGAGAGCAGACAGGTTTATTCAAGAAGTAAATTCCATCGGAAGATAATGTTTTTGAATTTGGGGTAAACTTACCGCCGCTCACGGACTGCCATAAGCGGAAACAGGCGTAATCGTAAGACCAAACATTTTAGGTCACTTCTACCCAGAATACAAAGTCAGAACAAATAAATCAATGAGTGTGAAAACTCTGATTGCTTCAAAAAGACCCTCTATACCACATAATCTGCAGTTAAAGGAAGTGGGTTCTTTTTCGCTTCTTTAAAATCGTTTTCTCAAAGTGTTGATTGCATCAATACCACCACTAAGTAGTAGACCGTTAAGATGGTTGGGTTTCAATGAATAAGTACTTATCAAGTAAGTCACAGGGTGTCTAGAAACGCAGGAAACCCTGATTTTAAGAAGGATGATGAAATAAGGGAAACTTTCTAAAGTATTTTATGACCAAGCAATCTAAAAGCGTATGATGAGAACCACTTGCAGAATTGTGGATGGAAAAGACTCATTGACTTGGCAGAATCATCTACACTTTCATCAGAGGTACATTTAATAATAATCCGCACTAATTAGAAATAACGAATAGTCAAGTCTTGACCTCTTTGGGTTACCCAAAGAGATCATAAGCACACAGAAAACACAGAGATAGGCATATTTCAAACTATTCCAATCCCTTGGATTAGCAAGAGGGAAAACATAAAACTTACGAAGTGTTTAACTTTCTGAACACCACACTGATCTTTTGCAAAGGTCGCATTCACATCTGACCGGATATTAGTAAACTCATTTGCTTGAGATAATTTGCATCTCTTGGACATAACGTCACTTGGATCACTTTCTTTGCTTACCAGTACCGTATCATCATTTTGAATGCTATGAAGAATAAAAAGATAACACTATGATCAGTGATCAAGGCGCTGCGAAGGACACAGAATACGGTTTATTTAGTATAATCATACCCCACATAAGAGACATGAATCACAGTTGAGTACACACGACCGTTTGTGGTTAGTACTTTTCTGAAGAGCATACGAATCCAGCACATTGTTATTTTAACCTTCAGGTCAGATATATGATCATTTGACGTATACTTCACCCATGACTTCATGGTGAGCAATCAGGCTGCTTTTAAAGATGTCTGTGACTTTCTAGTTAGCAAACCGAAAAGGGTCAACTGAGAGCCTTATACTGCTCTGGAATGAGACCACTATGGTATGCATCTTTAAGACAGGGATAGACTAAGTTTCCCCTAGCCAACGCCTGCTACCTTAAAGTGGCGTTTAGCATTGTATTTGTAAGTCATGCTGACTGGAATAACAGTCCTTGGAAGTCCTAAAATACCCTACAGATCTACTGGACACTGCCAAGACGATAAAGGGTTAACGTCATGGTGTCATTAGCTTACACTAGATTGGAGGTTCATGGATGAAGCAGTACTTCTGGTTGCACGGGGTGTAACAGTAGTAGAATATTCCACAAGAATAACTTACATTTTAAGCTGACACTTTTATCAGTAGAACTGGTTATAAAGGTCAGTCTCAGAAATGATATGCTCGTTCTTCCTAACGAACATTCGTTGGTGATAAGAGCCTTTTACCACGTGCAAATCCGTGGTGCAATTAAGTCCAAAAAGTCGAAAGTGTTCTGATAAGCCCTTAGTAGATGTTTGAGCCCCACATTAAATCACCCGACCTCTCCCAGCCAATATAGTCAATCTATAAAATCTACCCCAAGAGCATCTCAAGGCTCTTTGACTAGTTACTGCGGTCTTGCAGGCACAAATACGCTTGTAAATACTAAGGCAGAAAGTACTCCTACGAACTAAATTTTAGATAACAGTTGTCTATGCCCAGTACTACACGACAATGCATTAAATACAACGAATGGTGATAAACGTTTTTTTTTTCTTTTTGTTGTCTCTGGAGTAGACACCGACTAACTGCAGTTAGTAGTGAAAGATGAACTCATCAAAAATTGTCTTGCTTCCAACAAAAAGTCTGACGTAAAGATGTGGTCCTTGTTGTGGGTAACTTTGAAGCACAATAAAAGGTTAAACAAAGGTAGAAAGTCCCTCAGGTTGCGTTTTGGTATCCCACTGGAGCGAGCCGGGAGTAGCGATCAACTGTGTGTAGATATCCACCGATTATCTACGATGAATTTCAGTCATATACAAGGGTACTGACATGACCATCAACCTCAACTCAAAGGCGTATACAAATAGACAATACCGCCATCAGTTATCGCTGGAGAACATATGCTTAGGTAGTGACCATGCGTTGGTTAGAGTATTTCTGCTCCTAAATACATGTAGGTAAACTACAACTGGAAGATATGGACGATAGGTTGGGTAGACAGAAACTGAGAACGTGACGTTGCTTACCTCCAGTCTGGTGTGAAAACGGTAAAAGAACGATAAAAAAAAAGTAGAAATAGGTCAGAAAGAGAGTGAGTCACAGCAGGTGTCTCCGAAATTATGGAGGCATTTCTTCAGGCTCTGGGCACAATGAGGAGCTAAGTCAGCTCAAACGTTGGCTGGAAAAGTCTACACAATGACCAGGAGGTAGGTGACAACGGACACCAAAATATGGAAAAGGCAGCCGTGCTAAACAATGGTAAATAGGTGTTTAATTTTATCAAGAAAACTAGGATGAGAAACACGGTGGCTAGTGAGACTACAGAAGGACAAAATAAGTCCGTGGTCTATTCGCATATGATAAGACTTGGATGTTTTATGAAACACTGCAAAGAATAGCTCAGCTTAACTCCAATTGACATCCATTTGCCAACTATCCAGTCGCGATCTGAATAAAACATTGAAACAGAACATTCAACTATTACAGAAGGCTGTGAATAACCTGAAAGGAACAAGGATAAAATGTATAAGTTTGAATCATAGGTGTTTAAGGACAGCAACTCCCAGTGATTCATAAAGCCAACTGAAGTCTTAGCATGACAGACAAAAACAAGGTACAACTTAGCACGCAAATACATCGGTTCAAGTTGCTACACTTCACACTAGTACACAAAGAATAGGTGGATAGAAAAATAATGACATCAGAGATTATAAAGTAGTGTGAGAGAATAAACAATCTGGAGGTAAAGGTTAGTGCCAACATTCAAGCTTTAGAAGACCAAAAACAGTGAGCACGTCTCCACTATTGTGATCGATTTTCAGCCATTTCACCGAAAGTCCTCAACTACTGATTCCTTTCGCCTCGAAGGTCCAGGCAGTCTACATCTTCCCACACGACTCAGACTAACAGTAAGAGACTTCAACTGGTGCCACATCTTAATCTGGTCACCCTGAACTCTTTTTCAAGCTAATGCAAGTTCCCCTAGGATGGCACGTCGAAGTAGGCAGTGGCTTGGCATGCGCAGTATATGTCAAAGCCATCCCAGTCGACTAAGGTTCACAACATTATCAATCAACTTGCCTATCTTGCTTAATACCCTTCGCCTGGGTTCAACATGACTCAAACTCCCGATTTCACTAAACGTGAGTAATCCTACCAAGACATATATGTAATCATAACCCTGCAGTCGCTACATGTCCTCTACTTTTAATGGTCATGTCTCACAGCCACACAGCTGGAGAAAACGGACTGCAGCGCAGTATTCTTGTCCCTTAATAGATAGTCGGATATTTCTCCAGTCGCAGCCGTAGACAATTCAAGTTAGCAACTGCCGAAAGGACCTTCTCCATCTGAGCTGAGATTTTGTCAACGACCAGCCCATAAGCCTGATGCAACTCCTCATGGAAGTGAAGTTGTCGATATATTCCACCATTTCACTCCTCATCATTGAACTGGGTGACCTGTCCTGGTTCATTATCTTACATTTGACAGGTGCCTGGATGCCAAACGTACTCAGATTTGGTTTTTGTCAGCGTCTCCACCTAGCAAGACAACATCACCTGCATACTTCAAGTCAATCAGATGACCTAAGGTGGTGTCCATAAGGATGCCTATGAAGAAGTCAAACATGAACGGTGACAGTCAGCGTACCTGCCAGAAACAAACAGTTATCATCAATTCACGTGACATTTCTCCATGAGACATAAAACGACCATGTGAATTCGAGTAGAGAGGTTTCATTAGCGTTATATACTTTATCGGTACTTCTTGCACAGTCAGACACTCTCATAAGACCTCACAGTCAGGAGAGTAAAAGGCCGCCTTGAGGTGCAGAAATATACCAAGTGTTGGCTGCCAGTGGGTATGCGTATGTTTCAGAACCTGTCTGAAGGTGAAAATATGATCGATTCACCACACTCGTCCAGGTTTGAAAGGTGACTGGTTTTCTCGAGCTTACTGTTCTTGACCTCCAGTAAGGTGTCAGATAACTATGGAATCTAGGATCTTGGACACAATATTAGTCAAACTAAGTCCTCTATGGTTGTTACAAGGAGATTTCCCCTTCCTCTTATAGACCGGGTGATCAGTGAAGTACACAAGTTTGACGGCACTACCTCTAATTCCCATACACTACACAGTACCTCCGTCATTCTAATTAGAAATTTCCTGCCTTCTTCATTGTAAACTTTGGGTGACAAACTGTCAGGTCCTGCTGCTTTGCATCGTCCTAGGTTGGGTACAGCCTTCTCAACTTCAAGAAGAGTTGGACGACCAACATCTACGTCCCATTCAGGTTTAGGCTGGATGTTGAGAAACTGAACCATTGCTGCGGGTCAGTTGGACTGTGTTTTAAAGTGTTCTGTCCAACTTTTCAGCCACCAGTCCTGAGAAGTTATCTTTTTGATTTGGATCCGACTATAACTCCTTGTTGCAAGCATAGACATGCCACGAGATGATAGGGGTCGAGAAGATTCACGACCACACCTACTGACTAACCTCTTTTCTCAAAAACTCTACGCCTGAATTCTGCATTACTCATGTGTTGCTACCACGATAGAACCTATGCTACGCAGGCAATAGGAGTCGACCACCTAAAGGTTTCTCATGAACTTCACCTTCAAATATCTTTCTTCACAATCATATAGTGGACAGGTAAGAACTGCAAATGAGAACCCAACACTAGCCTAAACTCTATGCCAAATCGAACAGCAAGCGTACCTCATCAGAACCATGGAATCTCGAGTCATGTATTTACAGTGTGTTGAATGTGTGTGCTTGAATGTTCGCACTAACTTTTAGTTCTACTTTTTCTCTTCTCCCCCCCCCTCCCCGCACACGTTTGTCTACTTTGATATCACTTTTCCTGCCCACTTAATATACTGTGAAGTGTGGCAACTTGAACCACTGCACTTATGTGCGAGGTTCCGCATTGATTTTATCTCTCCACATGAGTAGACGTATTTTTGTGAGTGCTTTCACGCTACTCTTTAGCCTGTGCTCCAAACAGATGTGGTTTGTGGAGCAGTAAACAAACATGTAAAAAGTTCAATCGTATTGGTATTCTTGTTCCCAACCGCAGTTTCGCAAACTGGCATGCATCATAAACAGAGAAACCAAAACAATTTACAATTAGAAGGCACATAAAGTGTTCATAAATTCGAGTGATATGTGAGTAAATTCACACCACTACTCGATTTCAAGTCATCAGTACGTTATTAAATACTCAATCCTAAGAACTTCGACCAGGCACCGTAAAGAATGCATTGTGTAGTTGACAGAAGTATGTACAAATATGAAAGATGTACAATATATTTCATGTAACAGCGATTGGAAAGAACGTCGTAACCAGTATAACCTAACGACCAACGAAGTAAATGTTATTCGTAAAGATAAGAGACCAATTTTGCGAACGATGTTCCAAATAACATTTACACAGAAAAACTCACTTCTCTCCCATCACCGAAGCTGGGAAACGTTGCAGTGGAACGGGAGTTCGGTTTGATAAAAAATGGCGAGTAGGCTCGGAACGCTGAGAATTCGGAAGTGAGTACCCATCTGAAGGGAAAGTTGCCAAAACATACCGAGCACTAAGTCTTGTTTCATGAGCGCATGCAAAAATTATAGGCTTGCCTGGCTGATCACAGTATATCCTTATCATGGGAGAAACGAATTCGCAGAATGGTAAGAGAACCTGAAGAAAGAAGTCCATATTTTTACTATCTTATTTCAGACACAAATTTCATAAAACATTTGCACCAAGAGATTTACACTGACAAAGAATAAAGTGGAACTGAAGCGTTGCCAATTTTAGCAAAATCATTAATTTATTTAGTGAATATATACACAAGACAATCACAATGAAATGTATTGCAACTTCATAGTTTCGTTCGTTTTAACATTACCTACGGTGTAACGTAAAACAATTTAATGCTATCCACAAAAGACACATCAAAATACTGAGTTCATAACTTCACAGAAAAGTAAACCAAGTCCCCCTCCTCCCACCCAGATCAGTAAAACCACTAGTGTTATAAATGCATAAAACGTACTACCCAATACAGTAATGATGAAAATGAAATGAAAATAAGAATTACACAATTATGTATATCACACAACCCAGCTGGCTTTAATAATGATAACTCTTAGGAGTGTAAACTAAATCGGCACATAGCATAGGTAGTTACTCAAAAAAATGTTTAGTCGACCAAGTTTCATTAGGGTATTGGCTGTAAATATCAGTGAATAAATCAACTGATTATACACGCACATTTCCCATAAAGTTTAAATACATATCTGTGACAGTCAAACATATGGACAGACACCAACCAACATGAAACCTTGAAAAGCAAATCTTATAGAGTTGAAGTTCTTAATAATCCTACCATTGAGCTGTCAATCGTTGATTTACGAGCTCAATTCTAAAACTATGGGCCATGGGTATTAACATAAATCCATGGACCAAAGTATAGACAGTTTAGTACAATTCACAGTAATAAAAGATGTAAGTGGTTGCTGAATGATATCATAAATACTATTATTTCGTGTGCATTTTACTTTTACTAATACAAAAGGAACTCAACTTCAATACAATTTTTTCATTTGGTGTACATTCAGCGGTGAGAAGTTAGTTCGGGCTAAAATAGATTTAGTTGATATAGTGTCCACAGGCAAAATAAATTTATTCCTTCCTTCTGGAGAACAATATATCTACTACTTTTATAAATGAAATAGTGGTTGGGACCAATGGGATCCGCAGCAGAGGTTCTATCTGCCATTGACTTATAGCACTTTCAAATCCTCTGCACATTACCTAAGACCAACAGAAAATCAGTCAGTCAAATAGAATCTTGAGCAAATCATCACACTGGAAACATTGCGCAGTAGATAATACTTCAAGACCGTATGTTAATGGAAAAACAGAAACGAGCGGGAAAGCCTTAGATATTCCCTAGGGATTATATCTTATATGAGAGACATGAACTAAAAAACTCATGATTTAATTAAACAACCGAACTGAATTTCTCCCTCAGAACGTAATATTTTAGAGTCACCACAATGGCATTCTTCATTAAAAGTTCAGAGAACTAAGCAATAGTTCACTTAGTAAAACGGAGTTATGCTATGCACGAGTACCTCTGAAGAAAATGCATGTATAAATGTATTTTAGCCTCACTCTAACATGAAAAGCTCGCTACTAATTCGTAAAATAATGCTTCTAGACAGCCAGAATGAATGCTACGGATTGCAATAACAAGTAAAAAATGTTATTATTTGCTCACATGACCACAAAAGGGACCGAAATTCCCATTTAGGCTTCAGCTAATTTTATGAATGACAAGCAAATGTAGAACCTTAACAGATCAGATTGACAGTCAGTCAATCCGTAAATTGTCGTTTTTTATTTTAGGCATTTTAACCTTTCTTCAAGCCCAATACTCCAGTTAAACTGGTATGTCAGCCTAGACGAACGCCCAACACATAATACATGTTACAGTCATCAACGTCAAAGCATACAAAGTTAATATCCGCACTGGCCTACAAAACTCAACGTTTTCAAATTAAATAACAGCAATCTACCAAAACGAACTAAATTACTCTCAGCTCTTTCTGACAGAAAGTGACTTCACACTTTGATTGGATTATATATACATCAAATTCAGTGGCATTCAATGGGATTTGTGTCGTTATCGTCGAAGGATCTGGAAAGTGAAATTGGTTACAAGCATATTTTTACAAAACCTGTTTGGAACGTATGGTTTTGGAATGTGCATTCTCCGTCATTCAGAATGAATGTTAGTTCATCAGACGACTGGCGGAAATTGTTTATAACCTCCCCCAGCAAACTATCAACATTACACCAATCTCGCAACGTACCGAGCTGAGATAAGCAGATGATTGGCACTTCCCTCCAATGAGTAAACAGCCTCCAGTTGCTCACAGTCGATTATAGACATGTTGAACGTCTTGACAATACCGAATCGGCAGAAGTACTGCACCGTCAAAATGGTCTCCTGAGTTGATAGAAACATTTTACACTTCATAACAGACCTCTCGAGAGCAGAAGTGAGTCTGAAAACATTAGTACAGGACTGAGAGAAACATATAAATTATGCCCCTTACGATGCTCGGGATCTTAAAACGTTGCGAGGAACCATCCGCTAAACTGCTAGTAAATTTGTCAAAAAATGTCTCTTTGAACTGAATCACTGCAAAAGCTGACCTCGAGGAGTTGACAGTTTTGATTTTTAACTGTAATGCCATTTGAGAAACCCCCTAAATTTACTTACATCATTCCGTCCACATTCAAAATAGATCTCATGGCCTAGTTTTCCTAGTGAGTAAATGGCACGTACGAGCACTAACGTAGCTTATTGAAAATGTAAACAAATACCTTTCAGTTCCGTCGGCTGCAAAATAACTCTCATGACACTTAGCCCCCAAGGTCATTTCGTGACATCAACCTAACCGCCTCGGAAATAATATTGTCTTCAATAATCAATATTCGTTTGACGAGCTTGTGTAGACCAGTTGATTTCTTCTAACTCTCTTCTTGGGCTTGTGGAAGGGTTTCAGGTCGTTGAGAAATTCAGCCACTCGCCTGATGTAGCTCTGGCATACGGAACATGTGGTTTAGTGTTGGTTAGTTCGCCTTGGAGTGTGGTGCAGTTGGTTTCTTCAGATATTGAGTTTCCGGACAGTTGGTCGGAGTGGTCGTTAGAGAAGGTTGAGGACAGTGGAGGCAAAAGCTCGAAAGACAAATTCATGGGGTAATCTACCCACACCCAAGTTAGGCGAAAGGGGGTGAAAAGATATGAAGAACTGGAGTAGGCGAGGCTAATTCATAGCAGGTGAATGGGATGGAAAGGCTTAAATGATCACGGTTAAAAGAAAACTAGTGTAGAGGTAGCATAGTTAGGATCACGTGATAGCGGCTGACTCCTTCCGTTCAGTTCGTATTCCAGTTACATGTGGGTAGACCGAGGGTCTCCGCGTGACTGTCTAGCTTTTTCTTGAAGCTTTCAATAGATGAGGCGGAGACTCCCCATGCTGGTAATCTGTTCTAGTGCCCACAGACTAGAAGGGAGGAGAACTATGAACGAACATGAGCTTTTGACTTTTGGGGATTAATTCAGTTAGGGTTTCCACGAGGATCATCGTAGGGATCACTCGGCGGTAATCCTCTGTTCAGGTGGCTTGGGTTATTTACTATTTTGTAGGCCATTATAGAGTCACCTCGTTACCTTCGGTGACTGAGAGAGTATAGGCCTAGGCCTTTCAGTCTATCGTCGTATGGCTTTTGTTACGTCCTAACAACCCGTCTTGTAGTTCGTCTCTGGACTTTCTGCTGCAGGTTCGTGCCTCTTTTCAGTTGCGGTGAGGCGAAGACGTCATGGACCTCCAAATGGGGTCATATTTAAGTTTTGTATAACTTCGAAAAAGCTCTGGGGTGAGGACATCCAGTCATCTGTGCACAGAGTATAGTACACCGCATGGTTTTGAGGCATCTCAGTTTTTAAACTGCTGTCCAGTTTCCGAGTCTCCATTAAACCCAAGTCTTTTTCTGTTGCGGTATGAGGTAGGTGTGAACCGCAGTCAGAGTAAGATGCTTTCTGGAAATCAGGAGCGCGAAAAAACATGGACCAGCACTCATCTAGGTTGAATGCCAGTTCATTACTTGTTGCCCATTTCCCTGGTGTTCTGACGTCGTTCTGTGATACACTCCATTCTGCTTCGCAAGTTACCGCCCTCCGTAACTTGACGTCGTCAGCGTAGAGGAGAATCGGAGAGCTGAGATGCAGCGGGAAGTCATTCACGAGCAGAAGGAACGACAATGGATCCAGGATTACTCCTTATGAGCCACGACAGCACCAGGCCGCGGATACCTAACCCAGCTATTTTGGGTATTAGGGCAGTGTGTGAGACGGTGTCAGAGGCTTTGGCGAAATCCAGAAAAGCATCATGGACCAGGACCTTGAGATCTTAGCATGCTGTCCACTGTTCACCGGCCGTCAAGAGGTTGGAGGCACAGGACCTACCCTTTAGGAAGCCATTTTGCGTATCGCTGAGTGCTTGCTTTGCGTCAAGATATTCCCTGATGCGGCCGTCTATCACACTGTCGTAGACTTTTGACATTACTGGTAGAAGTGCTATTGGTCTGTAATAGTTTGGATTCTGCCTGTCTCTTCCTTTGGAGGTAGGAGACAGGTTAGCCCGTTTCCACCCTCGTGGGAGGTCCTGTTCGACTAGGGAATGTTGGAAGAGACTGCAGAGTGGGCCACCTAGGGTACTTGCACATTTTTTAAACACAGATGGGCGAGTGTCTTAGCACCCAACGGATTTTCCCGCACTTCCATACCTTATCGAGAATAACAGCACGAATTATGTGTAGTTCGTGCAACTCTGCAGCACCGAATAACGTTAGGGGCTATATGGGCGGTAGGTATGCGTGCCTTCCTGACGGAATTTTGGGCTGTGTTAAATGTGGTGCTTAACATTTGGGCGATCGCCCGTCCAGAGAGCTTTTTCTTCGTTAGGACCTTTCGTTACCCATGCTCCTTGGCTTGTCGATTTTCTCTGTGCCGTGAATCGGTATGGGGTTTTGGAGTTTACCTCAAGCTTCCTGGTGAGGTCGGACCGAGACGACCTTCTTCCTTCCCACACCCTGAATTTGTACCGATTTCGTAGAGCGTCGTGTTCGTCCTCTTTTCTGGAGAGTCTCTATTTGTGCCATGCCTTTCTCTTGGCTTTTATGTGCCGCTCAGTGCCTCGTTTTGGCGACCAGGTCCGCTTTCTGGGCGTTGTAATCACCAAGAGGACGTTATGTCAAGTCACCGCCCCATGATATCTGTACCAGTTCTAAGTGTTGGTTAACCGATAAGGAGGGCCAATCTACGGTCCATGAAGCTCTAGATAGGCATCGGTTCACGCCTTCATAGTTTGCCCTGTTGTAACAGAGGCAAAGGCGAAGTCCCTCCCACAACAATCGTTCACCGATTATCAGGCTGAACACTACCACAGCATGATCGCTGCTTCCAGGAGGAGTTTGGACCTGGACGTATTCAACTAGATGTCCACTAGTCAGTGGTAATCCAGTTTAAATGGTCTACCATCTGACCCCTAGTGGGTGCTGTTGGCAGTTTTTTCATACAATTCAGCCATTTGGATGGCATTTGTCAGGCTACAGTCGAACTCTCGGCTCGGAGTCGTGCCACCTTGCTCTAGGCTGAGTTGGAGCGTTGAAGTCGTCAGCCATTAGGATCTGGTAATGCCCTATGGTCGGCACTGCAGATATTACTTAGAGTGATTTTTGGTTGCCTTCCACGTTGCTATTAGGTGCGTGGTGTCTGACCGTGAAGTGGCACCAGATAGGTCTGGGAACCCTGTCAGTACAGTATCAGTGGTATGTTCACTTTTGAACCAACTGTTCAGGTATATTGTAAGCCCCCCTCCGTCCCTATGTTCTCTGTCTCTCCTGAACAGAAACATGTCGTCTGTGTTAACTTCGGTGTCACCAATGTCCGGCGATGACCATGTTTCCGTCAGGATTGTGATTTTCGGGACAGGTTCGGAGCAGAGGGATAGGAACTCTGGCATTCTACTTCGGAGCCCTCTCACGCTGCTGCAAAGACTCTTGGAAATGCTCCTCGTACAGTGAGATACCTCTGGGTTAACTGGTGTCACAGGTTTGTATGTGTGGATCTTTGCTGACTGGTCAGTTTCAGTGAAGCGGGCCCGCTTGAGTTTTTTCCGGGTCGATTGGCGCAGTCGGCGCTAGGTGGAGTTTGTGAGCTGGCTTTCAACGTGTCGGTTTAGGGTGACGGCGACCTGGGCACTGGGAGTGACTGCTATTTGTTGCTGTCGCGATGTTCTCAGTCTGCCTCCACGGCAGTGAACATTCCCGCTTGTGGTGCTCTCGACTTTATACCACCCCCCTACCACTGCTAAGAACTTCTGGGGATTTGAAGTTGGCAGCCAATAGTCCGGATGAGGTCGTGACCCCAGGTGCGGGGGGTTGGCAGTCTACCGGCCACCACTGCTGAGACCTCACTTAGCTGCATCCGAGTTGACAACCACTCCCACTGTTGGAGGTCATGGGTGTACTTATCACCTGGAGTACCGGTCGCCAGTTCAGGCATTACACGTGTGACCATGGTTGTGGGTTTCAATGGATCAACTGCTTCTCGAGTTGTCTTTCTTGACACGCATCATCGGTCAGGTCTGGCTATGGCACTGGATGATCTGTTGGTGGCCAGGGTGTGTGACAGTAAGAGGTACCTTTCGGTGCCTCTAGCACAGACTAGAGTCACCCTCATTGGAGGAGGCTCCCAAGGAGGCGAGTGGATGCCTTTGTGCAGTCAACACAGTTTTGCCTGGAGAGTGCCCAGACCTAACACGACGCAAACGGAGTTACATTGCTGCCTGTCAAACGTATGCTTATGTTCCAGAAGGCTACCATTGCAGGTGGGAACGTTAAATAGAATGATAGAACCAGATCGGTCAGCAATGCAATATTATCCGACCCTATGGGTGCGTTTCCGTGGATAGTTCCAGCTTTTCTCTCTATATAAACCCATTCCTTATATTTTCTACTGATTGCTGTTGCCGATGTCATTCCAGAGCATGGAACGGATGTGGTCGCTCCTTAAGCAGGCAGTCTTTTGTTCAATTTGGAGTCGCTTATTTTTGTGACCCTTCATGGGCCATTACCGAGACCCTGTGGAGAGTGAATCTCCTCCACGGTAGCGTTTTGGATGGGTGCCTGCTTTTTGGTGTTGCTGGGAGTTTATCAACTGCGCTAGGCAAGCCTGCAGCTAAGCGCTGTCTCGAGCGGCACTATGGTCAAATGTACCAAAACCATGTGCATGGGTGGTGCTACATAAATGTGTGTTACTGATGTGGTACTTTTCTGTCAGATTGACGGTGCACCCACCTGTTGCAGTTGTTTTTCGCAAATGATACATCACCTCTGGTTACAGTGACGGCACATATGTGGCAGTCATCGCCATGTCCACGAGCTCCGTCCAAAGGCCCAAGTCTTACTCTTCGACGACTCCGCTTAGCGGCTCTCACCGGTGGGTCGGGACAGGTGCTGGGCTTAGCATGGGATTCTGAGTTTAGCTGAATGAAGACTGACGTTTACGTTGCTTTTTAGGACTGGTTGCCTGGGTTCGAGTTTGACAAGCCACGACCGTTCGGTTGAGCTGGACCTAGGTGATGTGTTTGTGTCCTTTACAGCTTTCTTCGTCACGTTTTAACGTCCCATAGCTGCGCCCCTGGTAACTACTGAGGCTGAGGTGATCAGTGACTATGGTGAAGCCATACTTGAGGTACTTCTGAGACTTGCCTTTCTGGGGTAGCACACTCTTACAACGCATGTTAATAAATAGATGAAGATAATAATAGGTTCAGTGAAAGCGGCAGAGTAATAAAAATGTAGAGCAGGTAAACAGAAGACTTT